GGAGCGAAGAGGAGTACTACGCAGCCAATGAGCTCATCAGCGAGCCTACGCCATATGGCCTCCACGATGCCATGTTCTTGAAGACCCTCAAGGAGCAGGGAACTCCCCAGCAGCATGAGCTGTTCCTCAAGCGTGCCGAGAAGTACGAGATCATCGGCTGCTACGCGCAGACCGAGCTGGGCCACGGATCCAACGTCCGGGGACTGGAGACCACTGCCACCTGGAATCCAGAGGACAAGACATTCACACTGCACTCGCCGCACCTGACCGCGTCCAAGTGGTGGATCGGATCACTCGGCAAGGCGGCCAACCATGCTGTGGTGGTTGCGCAGCTGATCCTGAATGGAAAGTCCTTCGGCCCTCATCCCTTCATCGTCCAGATCCGGGATTTCAAAACCCACGAGGCCCTGCCTGATATCCATGTCGGAGATATCGGCCCCAAGTTCGGGTACAACACCATGGACAACGGCTTCCTCCTTTTCAACCACGTCAAGGTCCCCCACGTCAATTTGCTTAGTAGATTCTCTGGCGTGGACCCAAACACCGGAAAGTATCTCAGGCCAGCAAACCCAGCACTCATTTACGGCACATTGACCTTCATTCGTTCCTCAATTGTCCTCCAGTCAGGCTCCGTGCTTGCCAGGGGCGTGACCATCGCGACTCGCTACTGTGCTGTTCGTCGCCAGTTCCAAGATCACGATGCTGAGGACGGCAAGGGCGAGAACCAGGTCCTCAACTATACCATGGTCCAGCACCGCATCCTGCCGCTGCTGGCGGCCTCGTATGCGCTGCACTTCACCGGCCGCGCCATGTTCGACATTTACAACGCAAACCAGAAGCGCATGAGCCAGCAGCGCCTCACCAAGGACACAAACAGAGGGGCCGGCCCGGAGGAGCTCAACCCTAGCAGCGACCTCTTGGCTGATCTCCACGCCATTTCCTGCGCGCTCAAGGCCTTTGCCTCGACTACCGCCGCCGAGGGGCTCGAGGTATGTCGCCGTGCTTGCGGCGGACACGGATACTCTGCCTTCTCGGGCATTGGCACCTGGTATGCCGACTACCTCCCCACCGTCACGTGGGAGGGCGACAACTACATGCTCACCCAGCAAGTCAGCCGCTACTTGCTCAAGGCCGCTCGCGCCGTGCTCTCAGGCAAGGCTCCCGATAACAGCATCAGCCAGGTCCTGAAGGAGTACATCCGAAGACAGGACATCGGTGCGGCGTTCGACATCCTCGAGAATGACGAGGATCTCGTCCACGCCTTTGCCTGGCGTGTGGCCTACCTCACCTTCGAGGCCCTCAAGCACAGGGACGAGGAGAAGAGGCCGTGGAACGACCTGCTGATCGACTTCTGGCGCCTCTCCACTGCTTACTCCCAATACCTCGTCGTCAAGTACTTTTACGAGGCTCTCCAGAGCGAGCAGACCAAGGCGTCCCTCGACGCCAACACCCTCGCTCTGATCCGCAAGCTGTTCCAGCTCTTCGCCCTGCACCACCTGCAGTCCCACGCGTCCGAGTTCTTCACCTCGGGCGCCACCACCGTGCGCCAGATCCAGCTCGCGCGCACGAAGCGGACGCTGGCGCTCCTCCACGAGGTCCGGCCCCACGCCGTCAGGCTGGTCGACTCGTGGAAGTTCCCCGACTGGCAGCTTGACAGCTCTCTCGGGCGGTACGACGGCAAGGTCTACGAGGACATGTTCCACAGGGCGTCGCAGGAGAACCTGCTCAACGACGTCGTCATCGATCCGTACCCGGATTCACCGGTCCTGTTCCGCAAGGGGCCAAAGCCGAAGTTGTAAAAATGGTTATTACAGTGTACAAGTACTGAGGGTGGTTATAGATTGGTTTATTAACTTGAGACTCTATATAGACTAGAAAAGAAGCTAGCTAGACTCGGAAAATGCGAGGTTGGGAGGCATTTCTATACTATACAGCAGAAGTGAAGATGAGGAAAGTCTATGGAGATGCTGCGCAATGAATTTTGAAGGGGTCAGTTGTCTAGAGATTGAAAACAGAGCAAACATAATCAACGATCCATTTATAAAAGAAGGAAACCCCGTGAGCTTAGTTCATGTACCTCTCCAGCCATTCCAGCATCTCCTGCGGCTGCCGCTGGAAGTAGAGATAGCCGTCCCAGCGACGAGTGGTGTTCTCGATCCACACCAGCTTCTTCTCAGGAATGGGAATGGCGTCAAAGATGGCTTGGACGTCAGCTGGCCTGGTCTGAAGGTCGTTGCGGACTTGGTAGATGAATGTCGGGATCGTCACGCTCCTGGCCGCAGGGATGGGAGAGTACTGATCGAGGTGGAGACTTGTGCGCCAGAAGACCATGTCGTCCAAATCCTTGATGTAGCTGGGGGGGATTCCGCGGTTTGCCAGATCCACGCGGGTGGACATGTTGGCTGAGATGGGCTGAGGCGTGACGATGACACGGATACCCTCGAATTCTTGGGGCAGTCTCGACATGGCGTGGAAGACGGCGTTGCCGCCCATGCAGCGGGGGAACAAGCCAAGTGTCATGTTTCCGGTGTCTGGGCGGCTGCGGATATAGCGAATGGCTCCGATGACATCTCGGGACTCGTACCGTCCTCCCGAGTAGAGCACGCCGTTGGCTCGTCCACTGAGACCGTAGTTGCGGAAGTCATGGGTGAGGATGTTGTACCCGGCATCATGGAGGATCTTATAGTCGGGGATGAAGTTGACGTCGATGTTGTTGCCAGACGGAGCTGCCAAGGTCGCCCATGGCTCCATGTGTGAAGGCAATCCCGCACGGTTGAACAGTCGAGGATGATTCATCAGGAGAATTTTGTCCGATCCCTCGCGTGGGAAAAACCAACCCTCCAGAGGGACGCCATCTTCTGAGGGGAATGTGACGCTCTCGTATTGCAGGCCTTCTTCTTCGGGCCAGTGAAAGAGGGGCGCCTCGGGCCATTGTCGAAATGTCGTGGCTATGTTCAGTAACTCCTGTTGGATTTGGGTTTCATTCAGGGGACCGGTTGAATTGGTATTTTGGGCTTCCAAGGTCAGCACTTTCAGATCCGGAATTCTCTCATCTGCAAAATGGTCAAGACTTACCAGCCGCCATGGACAGATATCCCACAGAGAGGAGAGAACCGAGCTTTCGAAGCATTGTTGCGTTGTTTGGATTTCTCGTGCGCTGTAGAGCTTGTTGAATTGTTTGCTGAATTTGGGGATAACCAATCTTTTGATCTTCGATCATTCTTATAGCTTTCTTGATCGAGATCTAGCAAGTGGAATTCTCCAAATAAGCTTGATGCTCATCCGCGGCCCAGATTGACGAAATCCGCGGAGCAGCATATAACGTCAGCCCCATCCGGAGCCATGACATAGCCTCCTCGGGCCAAGACTCTACATACAGCATCACGCATTGTTCAAAGTCTCCGAAAATATCCATTTAGAGTATTGCGGGATGAAAATTCCCAAAACAGGTAACTCTTGGCGTGATTTAGCTCGCTGGAGATCTGATTAAGCTAAACAGGAGGCTTACTTAGAAGCTGGCACTACGATTGATCAGGGGCTGAAATTTCATCATTCAATTTCATGACCCTTCTTCCAATGGTGATTAAGAATGAAAAATTCTTCAGTTGCATTCCTGTTCTTTTCTGGGAAGTATCAAGAGAACAGTAAAGGAAAGGAAACGTCCGCCACCTTTATATTCCCCATAGTTGCAACACTACACGTCATTGAGGCTACCAACACTGCCTGATTGTCCATGTAGCTCTATGCCGATGGCAGTCCATCATACTTGATCGTTCCTAGTTCCGTAGTTTCAAACTCCTTCTTCCTGGCGAGCAGCTCATCGACATCCCAGTTTGCGTACACGAACTTCCCGTTGAGAAACTGGGCCTCCGGGCTCGCAACCCAGACCGCAAAGTGTCCGGGAAGATCAACTATATCAAGTTAGCTCATACATATTCATCCCCAACGGCCTTGTACACGCACCGCTGTCCGGCATCTTGATGCCAAGTTCATCCGCCATCGTGGTTTGGATCTGCCCCGGCTGGATGCTCACGACCCGTATCCCGGGGGTCTCCACACCAAAGTAGTCCCAAATCTTAGTCGCGGCAAGTTTGCTGGCCGTGTAGGCGACGGCGCCGGGGAACGCGCGCAGGGCGGCGCAAACTGAGGACGTGTGGACGACCACGGCGTCCTGCTTCGAGGCGACGCGACCGAATGCCCGAGCAACCAAAAGATTGCCCTTGACGATGACTTCGAACGTCTTCCACGCTTCTTCGATATCGAGCTCCTTGATTTCTCCGGCGCCGGAAACTACGCCGGCGTTGCTGGCGAGCACGTCGATGGGGCCAAACTCGTCAGCGATGGCGTCAAAGGCTAGGTTGACTTGCTCTTGGTTCGTAATGTCTGCCGGCTGCACCACAATCTTGAGCTCGGGGAAGTCTGCCCGGAGCTGACGTGCGGTATCTTCGAGGGGCTTTGGGCGGCGGCCGATGATGGCGATCTTCTTTGAGCCTGCGATGGCGAAAGACCGGGCGATGTTTGCACCGATTCCGGTTCCCTATTTCAAGACTGTGAGATTCGCCTGGTAGCATAGATGAAGATGCCTCAATCAGACGCGATACATGAAATCAAGTTCAATTTACTTACTCCGCCAGTTACTACCACTGTCTTATTGGCAGCTGAGAGTTCAGGCCTCGTGGGCGAGATGGCCGGATAGCTGTCCGTGTGCCATAGTTTGGTAAGCGAGGGGAAAGGAGGCATGTTGCACGTGAGGGCTTTTTTAGAGATTGCCTTTCAAGCTCTAGTTTTTTGTTCAGTGACTCAGATGATTGGGAAAGGAGTTCCATGAAGAACGGCTCGGCCTTCTACTTATACTTGATTTCTTTCATGGAGCTGCTGAGGTATACAGAGTGGGTCGTCGAGGGCGACACGGAACTCCGTGACATCGAATCTCTTCCTGGGCACCAATTGGCCTCAGCATATGTTGATCCCTGGGCAGATCCAAAGCAAGCAGGCTTGATTTATAATAAGCTAGCGGAAATAACAACCAGTATTCCTAACTCGTCCGTTCCTGAATACCACCTGCTCCATTCCTCCCTGCTGGGCTGGCCACACTCCCCCGTGCCCTTGAACTTCATCAGATCCCGCAGACTCAGTTTCTTGTAAAAGTCATCTCTGGCTATCTCCGCCTCCCATTCTTGCTCGCTTGATGCTTTCCATAACATTTTGCTTGCCGGGAGAGGCATAGCAGTGAATACATTGCATGGGTTGGGCGCCACGTCTAGGCTGTAAAGCTGCGACATGAGACGCAACGTGCTGTTCAGCCTCCGCTTCGATTCCACGATGATCCACTGCTTCCACGGGGAGAATTCTGCCATTTTCTCATAAAATCCCGGCAGGGACGGGATGCGAAAACAGACCCGGGAGAGAGTCGCGTACAAATGCACATCTTCATCTAGTTCCGAGGGGCCGCTCTCGATTCTCATGAGAATATAAATTATCAGGGCCTGTCCGGAGCTGATCAGGTCCTCCATCCCCATTTCTAACAAAGTTTCGTCGATTCTCTGCTGCTCCTCGCGAATATTTGATATGGTTCTGGGAGACTTATCCGCGAGAGAAGAGGCGATAGATGATGCTCGTTCTAGCGATAGAGGTAATTTCCAGCCATTTCTTTCCGAGCCGTAGCAGAAAGGATGAATAAATGGAGGTAAATCGGTTCTATTTCTCATCATTAAAGGGTAGGACTTGAGGATTCCGGTTCCCATTGTTGAGGCCATGATTGCGCCCGGCGCGTGGAATTGCCTGGGTTCAAATAATCTCGGTGCCTGCGCTTGGCCATGGTTATTTGTAGGGTCAATCAAGTTAAGCCCCAGATCAATGCCTGCTTCTTTTTCGGGTCCAGGGCCACTGAGAAGAGTGTTCGATGGCATGAAAAGGTCGAATGGGAAATGACAGTCAGGAGCATTTGAAGACGGGTTGTCTTGAATTGGCAGGCTGTTCATGTCCAAATTGGTGGGAGCCCCAGGATCTAAAGCAAAACTGTTCCAAAATTCCATGCTGTCATTATTGTCAGAGCTTATGGGAACTGCCAATGAACACGCAAGCCCTTTTCCTGAGCATCTGAGGCATCCCCGGGCGGATACTTCACATCTGGCTTTGGCCTGAGCACAGTGTTGGCACGACTTCTTCCGGCTTCGGCTTATTGCACCCCTTCGAATGCAATACCTCACATGCCGTTTTAGAGAGGGCCCTGGATGTCATGTTAGACTATGGCCACCAGCAAAGATCAGCTAGTGAGCAAGACTACAGCGTACCTGATGCGCTTTCCTTGCCGCAGACGTTGCACAGAAACTTGGCTTTAGGGAGGCTTTTATTTTCCATGTCAAGGTTCTGCAGTATATCCCAGTGGCCGCCCCTACGGTAAGAGCAAAGAACAGAGCTGCTGCACAAGGGAGAGTTTGAATGTAGTGGCACGGAGTTAAGGAGGACCAGCTGCTTATGGCCGAATTGCCACACCCGCCACGGACAACAAGAGCCTCAGGGCAGGACAATCAAGGTTCTACGTTTTATAGGCGGAATCCCCATATCTAGATATATCTCGGCCTTCATATTCAATCATGCGATTGCGGTCGAGGAGACACGTCCACTAGAAGCATCCTCCTATATTGCCTACGTTTGTGTCAGCAAGAGACGATATCGGGGCCTTCACCCGCCCGCCAACAAGTTCAGTCAGCGCACGAAAGCAGCAGGAATCCCAACATTGATCGACATTTTCGTCTATTTTACTGGTACTGGACTATTCACCACTGATAGATATGGATGGAGGTTTATGTAGAATATATATGTCGAGACTACGGTGTAGGATTAGCTTTGAAAACAAGATGGACTTTCTATAGCATGGTTGCATGGATGCTAGAAGTGGCGGTAGCTGATGACACATTGACATGCCAATCCTTAGTGCTTACGTCGGCTTACCTAAACCAATGCACTGATTGGTTTCATACAGGGCGTCTAACAGACCCAATCATACTTTGTCAAACACAGGAAAAATGTGCCAGGCGGCGCAGAATGCTTGTGAGACAGGCTGTTCTCAACCCGCTTAAACAACGTCAATAAACAAAGAACCGTGGAAATACCATGAGACATAAGCCAAATATATATATAACCTCTAGCCATTAAGATACGGTGGCATAAGCATAGGAGGCCTCATAGACTCAGGACAACGGTTTGCCACTTTAGACGGGCTAGACAGGGTGCTGGTACACGCTACTGTTGTATACGTCTAGTTTGCCTTGGCCGGAGTCTAACAACCCTACTTGACACTATGCATCGTTGTACACCTACCTCGTGTAGTCAATGATCCGCGTAGCGTGACATAATATGCTGGTCCCTGATATAAGACAACGTACCAGCCTACCCTCGACGGGAAAAGCAACCTTTATCTTCTTACTTTTTCGGGTTTCTTCCGTTCGATAATAAGCTCGTCAGTGGTTTCAGTCCCGAAAATGAAGACTGAGGGTACTAGAGATCTCGAAGCGGGTTTGAAATGGCCCCTTCGCCCAACTCTGACGTCCCTCAACGGGGATCAGTCATGGCTTTTCAGCTTTCCCAGACCAACAAATGATGGACACAACCAATATTTTTACCATATTGCGTTTGAGCCGTGGCTAAATGGCCCGACGAGTGACTTTTCGGGGTGGCTGGCACACCTCTCACTATCGCAGGAGCCTGCGATCGCTAGCGGTGATGCTGTGCAGAAAACAGCAGCTGAGATTGAGCGGGTAGCAGCCGAGTTGGCAAGGACAAACGGCAGTGGCGTGAGAACTGCCCACAATAAGGGGATTGATGAATATAATGGTCCGGTCGATGCCATAGTTATTTTGTTTGACGGACCGGATCACTGCCATCGCGCGACGCTTGAGACTTTCGACAAGCGTATCCCGCTGGTTGCGTCTAAGGAAGTCGCAGCTACGGTAAAGGCTTGGGATTACTTTGATAATATCTCGACAATCCACGAGCTGGACCTGTCCGCGCAAACATGGCAGGCCGACAAGCCCCATTCATCACCACTCCCGCCATGGCTGACAACTTTCAAGTTATCGGGTGAAGGCTTCCTGAACTTCGTCGGGGTCTTCATCTGGTCGCACACCTTGGACGCGGGAGAGCAGATCCACGAGGCTATTCTAGAATCGCCGCATGGAACTGAAACTTTGGACTCGGAAGATTCTCCAATCCAGAGCTTCCTTCGCATGACACCTGCGATCACGCCGCTTGCTATTCTGCATGGCCTAAAAGAGTCTTTCACCACTCGCTGGTGGCGTACCACCCACGGTGCAGAAGCTGGTTTGAAATTATACCGCAAGTCAGGAAGCAAGTACTGGATACTGAGCCATGATCTTGAGCTAGAATATCGCGGATTGATACTGAGGACAATGGTGTATGATATCAGGCGTACACTGGATTGGGCACTAAGTCGCGAAAAAGGAGCGACTGAGGCTCAGGATGTGAATTTTGTGGATGTGGGTAATGGGAACTCTTTTGCCTTGGTATAGTGAATTCTCTTGTCTACCTGGCACTTTGGCACCATGAATACAGCCACAGGAGGACACTTGGAACTAAGCTTTGCAAGCCAAAGCCACAGAGGTTTAGGTGCTTTCATAGTGGCTCTTCTACATTCATTATGGGCTCTAGTTGAGCTTGAACTTCTTGCCATTTGCTAACCTCACCCGTCCTCGCTTGGCTGTTCCTAGTTGGATCACACAAGCCCCGATGAAGAGCGTAAATACAGTGCATGACAGTCCACTAAATGCAAACGCCATGTTTCATAAAAAACCGCATTCATGAGTGTAATCTACATGTATAGAAGTGACTCACGATACTTGTATAGGTCGGGTGCGCAGCCCACCACAAGGGAATATGCCCATCCGGCAGGGAAGTCACACATCACACCATTTATGCAAACACGTCCAACAAAAGAGACCCCAATCAGCCCAACTTGGGGGCTGTATTTTAAGGGGTGCCAGCCAACGTTCGAGAGTGGCCTTTGAAGTGGCCCACCTAGTATTTTCGCATGTCAGCCCTCCCAATTAAGGGGTGTAGTTCACCATTGGGTACCTTGTATAATAGGCAGAATATGAATAATGTTGAAGGCCTCACGCTGGGTCGCAGACTACATAATGTGTTTTACTAGTGGTCTATCAGTCGCCTACCACACACATGAAGCAACACTGCCACCCCCAACGCTTAGGCGCAGGGGGGACTGAGGTGAATAAACTTATTTATCTGCCATTGTTCATCAATTCATTCACTACATTGGAGATCTCTTCACATCATCCTATCATAAATGTCCTCAAAATCTACGATCGTACCAATGCCATCATCGATGGAATCTCCCATTAGCAAGCAGCCCTACCTACCACAAGAGCCGTACGAATCTGTGTCAGCCACAGAGTATCGTGTGGTGCACCTTCTCCCCGGGAAATTCGTCGATGAGATTCAGTGCATTCTGGAAATACGATCGCCATCAGTCAGAACCAAATATGAAGCACTTTCTTATCAATGGGGGGACAAAACAGATACAAAGCCCATCTACGTTGGACGACTCAATACACCAGCCAGAAATAACCTTGAGTGGGGAGAGAATTTATCAGCTCGTGGTATAGCCACATACGCTTTACGCCCGTATGGGGTGTTGCGCTGGTTAGACCGCCTATAAACACAGTAATGAGCAACTAATAGTGAAGTTAAGAGCTTTAAGATAACGCCCGTGGTCCTGAGAAGTCGCCATGCCAGCTTGAAACCCTTTTATCCGTAGAGCTATATAGAGATGAGATGACTTGTCACCGCAGTTATATCCTAGAGCTATTGGTGCTGCAGCCCATGTCCCACTCCGACTAATTATTACTTCCTTCCTGTTGTCTTTGCTGGCGCCTTCTTAGCAGTAGGCGCCTTCTTGGCTGCTGGTGCCTTCTTGGCCGCTGGTGCCTTCTTGGCTGCTGGTGTCTTCTTGGCTGCTGGTGCCTTCTTAGCAGTAGGTGCTTTCTTAGCTGCTGCTGGTTTCTTGGTCGCTGGTGCCTTCTTGGCCGCTGGTGCCTTCTTGGCTGCTGGTGTCTTCTTGGCTGCTGCTTTCTTAGAAGGAGCCTTCTTAGCAGCAGGCGCCTTCTTGGCTGCTGGTGCCTTCTTAGTAGTAGGTGCTTTCTTGGCTGCTGCTGGTTTCTTAGTCGCTGGTGCCTTCTTGGCTGCTGGCGTCTTCTTGGCTGTTGGTGTCTTCTTGGCTGTTGGTGTCTTCTTGGCTGCTGGTGTCTTCTTAGCTGCTGCTTTCTTAGGAGGAGCCTTCTTAGTAGTAGGCACCTTCTTGGCTGCTGCTGGTTTCTTAGCCGCTGGTGCCTTCTTGGCTGCTGGTGTCTTCTTAGCTGCTGCTTTCTTAGCAGGAGCCTTCTTAGCAGTAGGCGCCTTCTTAGCTGCTGGTGCCTTCTTAGCAGTAGGCGCCTTCTTGGCTGCTGCTTTCTTAGCAGGAGCCTTCTTGGCTGCTGCTTTCTTAGAAGGAGCCTTCTTAGCAGTAGGCGCCTTCTTGGCTGCTGGTGTCTTCTTAGCAGTAGGCGCCTTCTTAGCAGTAGGCGCCTTCTTGGCTGCTGTTTTCTTAGCAGGAGCCTTCTTGGCTGCTGTTTTCTTAGCAGGAGCCTTCTTAGCAGTAGGCGCCTTCTTGGCTGCTGGTGTCTTCTTAGCAGTAGGCGCCTTCTTAGCAGTAGGCGCCTTCTTGGCTGCTGTTTTCTTAGCAGGAGCCTTCTTGGCTGCTGTTTTCTTAGCAGGAGCCTTCTTGGCTGTCGGTGTCTTAGAGGGAGCCTTCTTGGTTGCTACTTTTTTGGCGGCAGCCTTCCTGGGAGTTGTTTGCTTAGTAGCTGCCTTTTTCGCCCCCTGTCTCTTTGGATTAGACTGCTTGTTATGCTTCCTTTGAGCAGGTTTCTTACTTGATGCTGTTTTTTTGGTAGTAGGTCTCTTTTGAGGCATCTTCTTTCCCTTGATGAGAGAGGGCTTCTTTGTGTTTTTAGCAACATTATTTCTACCAGCAGTCTTCTTCCAAGAGGTAGGCTTCTTTGTCACAGCTTTTTTCTTATTGGTACCAGCTTTCCTTCCAGCACCTTTTTGCTTTGTAGCTGCGTTGTGTCCCGACTTATGCCCCTTGACAGCTCCCTTAGTGGTATGTTTCTTTTCGCCAATATTGTTCTTTCCGGTTGTAGTCTTCTTCGCAGTAGGGATCTTCGCAGGCTGCTTTTTCCCACCCTTAGAACTGGGAGAGTTCTTCTTCCCAGAACCCTTGGTTGCTTTTCCAAGCTTCTGGCCCACAGACTTTTTTGCTTGGTTTTTCCCTGGCGTACTATTGGGTGTCTTCCTTGATTTTGCGTTCGCCACCTTGCTTGAATGATTTTTTTGTTTCTGCTTCGCGCCATTTGCCGTGCTCTGATCTTTCTTCCGAGTATCCTGCTTCTGGCTCGGAACGCGACACCGCTTCGTCAGGATACCACGAGGACCCAGGCTGATGTCGCATGAAAGTATATCTGTATCTTTAGGTGCTGGCGGGTGAGGATTCGGGTTTGGCTGAAAGTCAGCTTGGCTGCTCTTGCCGCTGCCCGGCAAATGCTTGTCTTGGACATAGTGTGTTCCATCTGCCTGCACCGTATATTTATCATCGACTGGGTTAGTGCTAGCGGGAAAGTCGCTCTGGTGTTTCCGCATCTTGCCCGAGAACTGACTCAATCTGATTCCATCCGGGTTTGTCGTCCCTTGTTCATCTCCTGGCTTGATTGTTCCATCTCCCTGTTTTGATGGGATTATTCGGTTTTCCACAGCTTGCGCCGCTATGTCGACAATTTTTTGGTGGTTGCCACTACCACCTGATCCCTCCACGCCTTGTTTGTAAACTGGGTCGAGTTTCATTTGCTTTTCAACGTAGTCGGGTCCAGGTTTGGTGATGGTGTATTTCATGGTCTCTGGTTTCAGGCCGTTATCCTTGACCGCGGAATTAAATTCGTCCATGACGTTATCGATTCGGCCGGGCCCAACATGGGCCAGGACCTGTTTGGTCTCGCCTTTATCGTTCTGGCCTTCGCCGTGGCAGGTTACACAGGATGACAGGCCATCAGTAAAAATTGCCTGCCCTTTATCTGCGACACCGACATCATTCATCCCCACATATTTCGGTTCAGGTTCAGTCGCTCGCACCATAACCGCAAATCCGCATAGAAATAGAAGAAGTTTCATTTTGAAAAGGGAAAAATAGTATGAAGAATAGGAAATAAGAGGAAGAGAAAAGAAAGCAAGAAAAGGGAAAGGGAAAAAGAAAACACGTATAAAGTAAAAGTGATCACTTGTGCTAAACGGATCTTACAAAAAGCTTGTATTTATCTTAAACCAGTGTTATACTTTGCGGCTTGAACAGCCCTTTTATTATCTTCCTTTAAGTCTGTGACTTCGAGTTACCTGATGGATGGAACAACTTTTAGGTCCTTCCGGTTGCACAGGATGGCGCCAAGCTGATAAAGAGGAATGATGTCGCGAAATGACAGCATATTGTCTTGTGAGAGCGGGACTAATGGATAAAAATAAACAATTTCATGCGGCGTATTAGCCTTGCGACCAAAGTGCTGTACAATGCCCCTAGTTCTTGCGGAATTGTAGCTGCAGCGAGAAAAACAACTCATCCTACTTAGTTGATTGGCTTGATTGGTTATAAACAAAATTCCCTCCATGCCGGGCCATTTATCTATTTCAGGCATACATATGTTCAGCTATTAGGTGAGGGATTTCCATGGTGGAGGGTGAGGTTAACTGCCTCAGTCCGTCGCCTCTTTTTTGCTGACCGGCTTCTATTTTTAGTATCCTGCCACACTTTAACCCTGCGAGTAACTCCGTCTAGTGGTGTTATTTCTTATTCAGCGTTGTCATATCTGAATAACAGCAACATAAGCTATTGCCCAATCCAGAAAATAGTAACTGTAATATATATGTTTTGGGCTTTGCTACACTTACTCTCTCTTTCTTTTTTCTTCATCTTTTTTTTCCTAAGAAAAAAAAAATTACTTTAAAGATAGCCCGGTGGGTCGCGGCCGGACACCGTTAGATTTACCCCCTTTACAAGAAACCCCGCTTCACCATCTTGTACCATTGTTATTTTCCATCTCCTCAACACCAGACATTGGACAGACAAAAATCATGGAGGTTTCCCAACCCCGCTTTACGACATTAAACCACATTCATTTCTCCAATGAGAATTCTCCATCAGAATCTGCTTCCTTTCATTCTTTCACCCGCCTTCCGCTCGAACTCCGACTAAGGATTTGGGAGCTGTCGCTGCCCTGCAGGCGGCGGCTCTTGACTCTGCACCTTGCTCACGAGGACGAAAGTGTGTCAGGGCTCGGCCATGGCTACAACATATCAATTGAGCAGCTACCTGACGCCATTCCACAATCCAATGTGTGTGCTGAGTCTAGGCAGGCTGCCCATCAATGCTTTCGGCTCCCTCTGCGGGTCAACACTAATGCCGACAAACCTTTGACGATTTGGATCAACCCTGAGCGTGATTATCTCTTCCTGCCCAGGTTGAATGTAGATATCAGGACATTTGCCAACTTCATTATCAAGCTCAAGGACTCAGATCCCAAAGGGAAAGGCATCCTCCACATCGCTTTTGACAGCTTATGCGGAACCTCAGTTCGATCACTCAAAGCATTAAGTACGGACCTTGGTAGTAATATTCCTCAAGAGACCATCACTATCCTTAGGGAGTGGGCCCTGGGACTACAATCGCTCTGGTTCATTCATCTTCTATCCTCCGAATCTCGCCTCGATGCTGGCCCATCGTCCGGGACTAGGAACTATACAATTAAGGGTCTAAACCGCAGCATCCCCATTTTCCCACATGCCGTTGAGTTTGAACTATTCGACGAGGATATACGCCCCTATCAGCCAAGTCTTCAGTCACATACAGTTTATTATAGCCCTAAACCGGCTGTACAGGCCTGGGAAGCGATGGAAGATAAGCTAGGCATCCGCAGCGATACAGGGACACAGCCTGTCCGCCAAATCTCCCACGTCCTCGCCGCGACAGCAAGACACGGCTACCATCGCCGTGCTTCTGCCGAAGTCAGGTGTGCCAAAACCATGGACGACTACTTGCAGCTCGAGCAGGATCAAGCGGAGAAGTTCTTCAGCAACGGACCAGGTAGCTTATTCCCTCAGTGGCGGGAGACTGAAGAGCAGAAGAGGACCCTCTTATCCGCGGCCGGCTTCTGGATATTCCCGTACGGCACTTTTGATACTCTAGATAAGACACTATCAGGCAAAGCATGCCAAAATTTAAGTGATCAGCGGCCTGGACTGGGATTGTTCAAACTCTAGACTATCACAGTTTGCTTATATAAGTAAAAGGGGGGGGGGGGGGGGGGGAGTACGAGCGGCTAATGCTCTGGGTCTAGTCACATGGTCTGGCGTCACGTCTTGAAGCTCGGCCTCCATCTTTGTTTCTCCCTTTCAGCAAGTCCCGCCAACTGAACACGGCATGGTGTGATCTGTGACGGCATTGACGTTGCCAACCTCCTCACCCCACGGCGGATCCAGGGTCGTTGCGAACGATGAACAGATGAGTGGCAGATTTTGGGGAAATGGACCGACAATTGTGATCCCCAAGGCATGAAGTTCTTGCTCTCCTCTCTGAACTTGCAGTCAATTACAACCAAATCAACGATGACACATTTGATCCCAAAGCCAAGAGAGGTGCTGCCGATTCCCCCTCAGCCCAAGTGCTTCGCTACTGAGGGCATCAAGTTGTCTTTTGTTTCTTCCTCTCCCGATCCTTCACGCGCTCGCTTCGCCGATTCCCGACCAAAAGTGCAGTCTGGTCCCTGCCCAGGGCCTCGATTGAATCATTGAGCTGGACCACAATGGTTTCAGAAGGCTCTTGTGCATCAGACTTCTTGTGTTGGCCTCTTTTTCGCTTCTGGGATGGGTTTGCTCCCGCCGTCAGCTTCAGTGACGGCCTGCTATCCTTCTCGGGTGGGGTGTTCTTTGTCTGGACGACGACCCCGGTCTTGTCTGTTGCCCGCGCGGTTTTTCGGCCTGCCACCTTGGCCGGGGGTTGTTTGTCTTCTGTCAACAAGTTTGGGAGGGAACTCTCTTTCGCTTTGGCCTGGGTTTTCCTTTTAGATCTGGATGTAGGCTTAGATATGCCTGATGGAGGCTGCGACTTGTTGACCGTCTTGGGAGGCCGGCCGCTTGGCTTGGTCGACGGAGTGTCGGTCTTGGCGCGTGTGCTGGACGAAGACTCAACCGCGCTGGTCCTTTCAGAAAGGCGACTTCTCTTCGTTTGAGATGGGTTCCCGGTCTCGGTTGGAGCTTTGGGCGGCATGGTATCTGGTTCTTTTGCCGGAAATGGAGGGCTGCGTCGTGGTTGGGCGCGGGCTTCTGGTTCGGGAGCCTGGCTCTGAGGCATCTCTCGGGTAGGGCTCCTTATTTCCTGAAGTATATCAGATCCGTCTTGGGTTTGGGAACCTGGAGGCAAGGGGCGGCGGGGGTGTAGAGACTCAAGAACGTCTATCTCAGAAGGCGTCAGCTCCATAGCATCATAATCCAGGTGAATGTTCTCTTCTGCCACAACTCCATCGAAAGCAGGTCCGCTATCAGGCAGCCATTTCCAGGTCGCGTCTTCATGGTCAGGCGAAGGACTCTCATCACGCCACTTCCAGCCAATTGGTCGCCTGGGTTTCAAGGAATCGTTTTTCAATCTTCGATCACCTCTGTTTTGCCATAGCCATGGGACTGTTGAAACGTATTTTCCATCTTGATCTCTAGGAAGTCGGAGACGTCTCGTGTGCCACTCAGTTCGCTCAATTTGAAACACAAACCACGGCCGAGATGCGATGAAAGACACAGCCTCACTGGGCAATGTTTGCTCAGTCAGGTGAGAAAGGGGCGGGGGGTACCGGCATTCTCCAAACCGAAGCCCTTGGCGTGAAAGAAGAGCACTGGCGATAGGGTGTGTCTTTGCCGCGGAGGAGGAGAGGGGTGTTGCTTCGGCGGCAAATTCGCCGTGCTGCCACTCCCATCTCCAATGAAAAGTCGAGTCATGGGGCTCTGACGGCTCCCGGCAAGGAATTCCCCAGGCAGGATTCCATACGCCCATCTTCTTCCAGCGCTTTCTGATGTTCCGCCGTGCGAGGACTCGTAGTCGCCGTGCTCCCGAGGCACTGTTGATGTATTCCCGCCTGCAAGAATCCACACTGTTCGCCATGTGATGGATCTCGAACTCTTCTTCCCTCTCGTAGATTGCTGCGGGATTGTGCATCCGATCGCCTTGTGCTAAAACTCGAGCGATCTCTAGCTCCTCATGGTTGAGAGGCGGCGCGAAAAGCTCCTCCATCTCGCGTTCGTAGGAGCCGTCGTCAGGTGTAGCTGCAACGATGGAATGATCCTCGCGGGAAGGCACAAGCGGCCGCGGTTTGTCGCGCTCAAAACGGCTGTAGTCCGGATTTGAGCGAAATCTCTCCAGGGCAGGATTGATTTCGCGATGGAGGGCAGCTGAGAACTTACCATCATGGTAGACATCATAGTATAACATTGTGCCGGCAGCTCAGAGATGGGTTGCAGTCCAAGTGGTATGGCAAATTTCTTCTTGGGGCAGCGTTTCGGAACGAAGAGCATAGAAGTATGAGGCAAAAATGCAAGAGAGTAGTAGTGACGAGAGTCGTCTACACACAGAGGCTTGATGGTCCAGAAGATTGCCTACGGGGATGACAATGCCGTCTGTCATCTCTCTAAGTCTGTTGGGTGGCCCCCTTGTTACCCCCTTCCGACACGTCAATGTCGGACAATCCAGATATCCCCTTGGGTGCCACACCAGCCCTCTCTGGCCAGAATCTTCTCCTCCAAATTTTCTCTTCACTCTTCTCCCTCTTCAGCCCTTTTTCTTGGCCTTGTCGCAGGGGCCTGCATAGTGTACAGACAGAAAGGGTACATACCGAGAAAGCGAGCTAGCGCAAGATGCCGGGACCCATTGTCCTGTGACACTGGGACAATAGAAAAGACAATTAACAAGATGTACTTTTACCAATAGCAACGCCTCAATACTTACTACTGCCTACTAGTACTAGTTTCAGGGTGCGTGCAGGGCTGGCCACAAATCATCAAGGCACGCCGTGCGAACAAGTCCCGGGAACTTGACGAGAGGGGTGGGTTGCCTGCATACACTCCCACCGTCCCTCTTCCCACCCCATCCGGTCCGCTGCTTGTTTAATTGAGGGTAAGTCTATCGATTCTGCCATGGTTTCATAATCTCTGTTTCCGCTTCCGCCACCCCGTGCTACACCGAGTGGTGGAGGTCTCTTGGCAAGCATGATGGACGGCAGTCGCATCAGGGTCCAGGCAACGCATCCAATCAATCAATCAAACGGCCCTGAGAGTCAGTTTGTTCATTTGATGAGTAGAAATTGATTTATTTGTTTAATCTGAAGTTTGATTTGATTCGTTTGATAGATCTAGATGTTTATTAATAGCTACCTAGCCCGCCGCAAGTGCGGCCAGAAAGGTATCAATATCAAGGTGCACATGTGCATACATACATAGGTAGTCAGCAGTAGCCCTATTTCCCAGGAAATCTAAAAAACCTCACCTTAAATGAGAAATATCGTGCATGTTAAACAGATTAAATAACATCTCTAGAATTTGGTCTGTTTGTTTTGCGAAGCATTCTCGTTTAATCTGTGACTGATTCCATTTGTTTGATATGATGGTTTGACTGGAAGCGCTAGATCCAGGTAAGCTTGATACGCAATGGAGGACCACCCGAATCTGCCCGGAATGCAATCCAAATAATGTATGTTGTATTGAAAACTCTTCGCAGATTACAATATCAGCAGAAGCGCAAACTGTTTAGGTAATGGGAGCAAAGGGCGATGGAGGAACTGGAACGTACTGCAACCGCTACCAGTTCTTCATACTTACTAAAGCAGGGAACGTCAAAACCCAACTCCGTCCATCTTTTGCCCTGGTGCCAATCTTCTCCTCCTACAAAGCATCTATAACCTAAACACCTCTACACCGTATCCTATCATTGTCAGCAACTTCTTCTTCCGTCTATTACATATCCCATCTTATCATTCCATCTCTCTCTACATTGCAGTAAACATACCTCCATCGTCTTGACCCCCTACCCGTCAGTATCCAGAACGCTTAACTCAATTTACGGTCACCACCAACTCCCCTCCCAAGATGGCAGCATCTGCCGGTACGCGTTTGCCTGATGAAGAGACTTTATTCCACCTAATTCCTCTGAATGAACAAGCTGAAGCCGCAGTGGATCACTCTGACAATTCCCAATACGTCTCCGTATCGACAGAATACGGCCGTAAAGGATTAGAGGTAGGGTATCACGTTCCCACCAATCCGAGGGGAGACGTGATCACGAGTCTGGGAAGAGACGCAGACCTGATATTAAACCATGCCGAAGATGAAGACAAGAAACCCCCATTTGTTTCTGCGAGGCATGTCGATTTTCAACTCAACATGCACTCTCACGTGGTGATGCTCCGCGTTTTGTCTCCCGACCCAACGTCTGTCTCGGTCGTTCTGCGCGATTCCAAAGATGCGGGCGTAGATGATGTAGACATGAGCGGAGTTGACGCCCCGGAGAGCTACGGATGCAGGGAAACCTGGGGAGACAGTGTCCTGCTGTATGGCCGATCCTACCATATAAACATCTGTCATTACAAGTTCAACGTGATCTGGGTCCGCAAGACTCCCGAAGAGCTGGAGGCCCTTGCGCTTCAAGGTCAGAAGACCTCCGTTGCGAGAGCCCAACGACTCCCCGCACGCGAACGACCTACACCAAAATATCCATTGTATTACATCCACAAAAGGTCGGCGGACAACGCAGGGTGCCGCGTACGCGAGACTCCAGAGTCTCGGGTACTGGAGCAGGAGAGCGACTTGGCAACTGTCCACAAGGCCCTTGATAACGGAGATGGTCATGGTATAATCGTGGTGACGATTAAGCTCAGCAACTTTGGGGCACAGAGGAAAGATCAGGTTCGATCAGCCATTCGCCGCGAAGTGAAATTTTTAAAACAACACAGACGGGTTAGTTTTTCTCTTTCTCTTACTCCCCAGTCGGCAGACGACTCACGGCTAACAACCAACACACAGGACACTATACTTCCATGCTTGGGCTCGAAAAATTTCGAGACAGACCTACCCGTCTTCTACTTCGACCTAGCGGAAGGGAACATATGGCATCTTTCTACAACACAGACAATCCTGTGGTCAGGTGACCTCAGTCAAAGAATGCTGCGCCAAATACTCGACGCGCTGGAATACCTTGCTGAGAACGACATGTGCCACGGAAGCATTGAACCAGAAAAGATCCTCTACTACAACTACAACGACGAGGGGAAGAGCGAGACGGAGATTGATAAATATTTCTTTAAACTATCGCATTTTGGCATCACCAAGTACGCTGCGAAGCCACGCGCGCAGTTCCGAGCACCGGAGCTCTGGGACGACAAGGAACCAGACACGGCAAAGATGGTGACCCCGAAAACAGACGTTTGGTGCCTTCTTGCTGCATATGCTGCCACGCATCCGTCGACGCAATGGGACATGTTGCAGGTCAGTAGCTTGTCGGCCCTGTGCAAGGTGATGGGCAAGGTCGGACAAATGTGGCCGTCTCTCAACCCTATGGCCACTGAAGACCCCACGAAACGAGCATCGGCAACTCAGATGCTTTCTTTTCTGCCTAAGCTTAAAGTCCCAGCTCAATCTCCAGGTGCCCCGAGCCCAGCTCAATCTCCAAGTGTCCCGGGCCCAGCTTCTCCATCGCTGGGAGCCGGAGGACCAACTGACGACCCCGCGGACCCGGGCGGTCGGGAACTTGAGCCGGCTATCATTGAAACGTTCCGGTACAATATGCGCGATCGAACGGTTAGGCAACGGGCAGAGCAGAGGCGCAATGCCCGCCCAAGGCCAGGCCAGAGACGCAATCGGGCAGACCAGAGACGGGATGCTCGCCATCGTCCATACTGACGTACCGCGGCTGGCCCAAAAAAGACGGTTTCACAGTCTTGGATGCGCAGATTACCAGACGCAGGGTGAAGGGTTGGTCAGCGGGTGTTGCGCAAGGCAGGCAACGCATGTTGCAGGTTCTGGCAGATTACAATGGGGGCATAGATGTTACTCGGGAGGAGCATCAGCTCAGGATTTAATGACGGTCTCGTATTGTTTTCATAGATCAATCAAGTGCTTTGTCGTTCTATATCGCCTTGCCGTGGTGTGAACTTGGGCTGTGCTGTGAACGCCCCAGACCTGAAGCCTACCCGGGAGCTCTTGCCTTGCCTCCTTCGCCCCTCATTACATCAAATGTCAACATGTGAATATCTACACAGTAACATGAGATCTCGTCCCCTCGCACGGCTGAGACGGCAGCCAGAGACCAATCTCATCCAAGGCGGTGTTCTGGACCCGCTTTGCTAATTTACCAGGCTGTCGGGGCATTTCCGTCACGCACGCGGGAAAGTCCACAATCTCGGCTAGTGACAAAAATATACAGCCATGTCTCAGAAATCCGACGGCAAGGGGTGTCCTGAGGAGCGCGTGGCTGCAGCCACTGGGCGAGAGAGGATCCTGCTGTACCCGCGGCCCATGCAGACGGGCCACACTACATCGGCGATGCGCTGGCAAGCTGGGCAGCATGGCAGCGAAGTTGGATGAGTGTGCCAAACGAGACCACTTGGAGTCATGACCGGCTGTGGCGATGCAAAGCAAGCAATCTTCACCCCCCATGCCGTAATTTTAGGTCCGATTTAAGCTTGAATCCATTAGAGTGTTAGCGCCGAAATGTCCGTCCCACTGCAACAGGGAGGGCCAGGGCACAAGACCAATTGCTTTTTGCTCACTGCCCGCTCAGTTGGGGAGACTGGCCAAGAAAGGAAGCGGCAGAGTTGCCGGCTTGGCTGGGCTGGCAAGGGCTTGCAACGTCATGACGGTCTCGCACCCACGCGTGTAGGTACTGCAGTATGTACGTGCCAAGGTTTGCAAGCTAGTTCTCCCGATGCACCGGCTGGGGCAGGAAAGGAGCGGGTGAGGCGAGGCAGAGACGGCGGTTCTTAGCCGGGAGACGTGGTACGTGAGACAGGTAGCACGGCCCCGTCCGCTGGGGCTTTTTTTTTTTTTTTTTTTTTCCCTCTCTCGTCCCGCCCTGTCAATGGAGCAGCCTGAATGTGCTGGGATAAACGAACTAGAAACGATGGCGAACAAGCGGGCGACTTGCATCACCTCCTCCCAGGACCATCCCACCTTGCCAAGGGCAGGCAGAGCGACCCAGGTCGGTCGAGATTAAGTCAAACGAGGGGCCAAGGCACGGCCGGTCCCTAGCGAGAAGTTAAGTAGCCAGCACATCCATTGGAAATCTTAGCACAGAGAGGTCCAGGCCTTCCTTGGCGAGAATGCCTCCATGGTCAGCTGCTGCCTCCGCCTCCTGCAGCTCCTACATCTCCCACGCCCACCGATGGTACCTGTGGCCCTCCTTCCCTGGTGGCTCCTCGCCCCGTTTATCGTCTCCATGGTTTTCTCTCCTGATCTGCAGTCCCGCCTGTGTATAAGAAGGCGGGCCCATGAAGCTCAGCCTGGGTCCTTCATCATCACCACCTTTGCGTTTTCTTGCGCTGTGTTAATAATACACCAATCGCTTCAATTGCATCTCACACTAGATAGATAAAGCACATCTCGCACCATGACCAACATCCGCCAAGCCAGGCCCGACGAGCTGCCTGCCGTCGTCAAGTGCATCCTCGCCGCCATCAACAAGGAGCGCCTGTGGACAAACTTTGTCCCCGCCAAGGGAGGCCAGGACGAGGGCTACCTCGCCGAGATCGAGAACCTCCTCAAGGAGCACCTCGACCCCTCCAACAAGGACTGGGTCATCGAGGTCGTCGACCTGGCAAAGAAGGGCGCCCCGGCCCAGATCGTCGCCGTCGCCGTGTGGGACATGTCCGCCGCCTCGGAGGAGGACAAGAAAGGTGAGCCCAACTGACCGACCAAGACCTACAAGATTGAAGACTGACAGTAGACGCAAACACAGCCCAGCAGCCCCAGACGGCCATCAGGGACGACAGGCTGCGCGCGTACATCGAGGTCCTCCGCAAGGCGCGCGCCGACGTCTTCAGCCGCTACGCGCAGCACACGTACCTCCAGCTGCTGGCCACGCACCCCGACCACCAGAACCGCGGGTACGGCAAGGACCTGGTGCACTCGTACATGGCCAAGGCCAAGCAGAAGGGCGGCGTGCTCACCGCGCTCGGCGGGCCCTTTGGCTACATCTTCTTCTCCGGCCTCGGCTTCCACGACCTCGGCCCCGTCGAGCTCCCACCCAGCAGTGCCACGGACGCGCAGATGGTCAAGGCCATGAGCCTCGTCATCAACCAGGAGGAGAGGCGGAGGTCCATTGTCGACTCGCTCATCAACTACATCTCTAGCTAGGATTGGTTGTCTACGGTCCCTTTTTCTTCTTCTTTTTTTCTCTCGTCAATTTCAATAAAGATCGGTCGAGAAATGGATGTTGTTTCTCGCCGTTCTGTCTATTAGATGTATGCCTGGACGCTTACGGGGAATGCCCATGACGATTCCATGACGATTCTTTGCTTGGTCTGGCTTTTATTCATACCCTCATGTTTTTTGTTAAACTACTGCCACTCTTCATACAGCCGTCTTCGTAGCAAAAGAAGGCCACAATTAAAAAATCATACCACATCAATCGCAACCCCTCATCCGCCTGAATGACCAGAATCCATCCTTCCTTCGCGACAAGCTCCAGCCCCTCTTCCCCAGATGACGTAGCCGGCTTGCAGGGGTGCGCAGCTGGTGATCTTGGCGCGTTTATGCATTTCACACGGCCGTTTGGGAGCAACGCCGGCGATTTCCGTCCCTCCATCAATGAGACATGGCGGGGCAAAACAACGGTTGGTGATCCCGTCGCAGGGTCGCTCCATGCAGGTAATTTACTGAGTTGAGTAGAAGCTATCTTGCAATTTATCGTAGGACGGTCCCAGAATCGGAACGAGGACGGATACGCTGTCCAAATAGCCCGAGATCAGCAATATCCCTGCCCGATTCTGGGGCTGATGTCACAGACCTGCTTCAGTGGGAAGCTCTCAATGTCGAGTGAAGGGCGCAACCAAGGAGAAAAACGCCCAATCCTCGCGTTGGTGAATGCCAACATTTGATGCGAGCAGCTCATACTAAGACAGCAGACCTTCAATCGCAACATGACATCACACACAGCAACCAAACCCGAGCTGGAGCAGACCTTCCTCTCGTTCGTGGCCGGCATCAAACACCATGACGAGAACGCCATCTCCGCGCTCCTCGCACCGGACCTCACCCACAACGGCCACCAGGTCGGAAGACAAGAGTACCTGGACGGCCTGCTCAAGGCCACGGCCGACACGCAGGACATCATTGTCGACATGCTCATCGTGAGCAGCCAGAACCCCGCCGTGGCAGCCAGGCTCATCCACCACTCCCGCCAAGGCCACCAACAACACCCAGAATACGTCTTCGTCCACTTCTCCCAGCCAATCCCCAAGATCACCAGCGTGCGCTCCCTCGCCGACGAGGCCTCGTCCTCCCCCATCCCCCTCTCCCCCCAAGCACCGACGCCGGAACAGTCCACCGCCGTGCAGGACCTCGCATCGTTCTACAGCGACTACATCGCCTCCATCAACACCCTCACCATGGACCGGCACTTCCCCCGGTCCTGCCAGCCCCGGCTCACGCACAACGACCGGGCCCTCGACATCCCCAGCTACATCGCCCTCATCGAGTCCTCGTTCGGGGACATCCGCGGCCTGCGCTTCAACGTCGTCGACCTCGTCGCCGACGAGGGAAAACAGCAGGTCGCCTCGCGGATCGAGTTCACCGGCCGGCCTGTCCGCCCGTTCCGCGGCGTCGAGCCGGGGGTTAACGGGGAGGAGGTCAAGTTCCACGAGCACGCGTTCTACTTCCTCGAGGGGGGCAGGATCGTGAGGGTGTGGTCCGTGTTGGACATGGATGCCTACAAGAGGTGTCTGGGCCGGTCATAGATTTCCCGCTTATATAGGAAGAGTTTATACATAAGAAGAAAAACACAATCTGTATACTGTTTTCGTCTTATCAATGTGAACATTTTCCTGTAATCTCTACCAGATGATGTGCTGTACAGCCTATATATACCAGGGTCTCGCAACGCCATGAAAACACGCCGCTAACAAACCGTCGCTCTCCTTTTAGCTCGTCCCCTTTGCCGAAGTAACCCAAAAAATATGTTGTGTGAATATCGAACAATGCAGCGCCTACCCAAGATCCAGGCCCACCATTATGAAAACATATCCCAGACCAGGTGGCCGAGCATCACGAACAGCACCCCTATACCCGCACAGCCCGCCTCGGTTGCATCGCCTCTCCAGGCGCCCCAGCCGGCATACCCCAGGCCCGCCAGCTCGATGCCCGCGACGACGAGGCCTGCTGCCGCTCTTGTCCTGCAGGCGTAGATTCCCACGGCAGAGGCGAGGCCGAGCAGACCGAGCTGGATCTCGCATACATGCTCAACGGGCATCGTCAGCATAAGCAGCCACACCACCACGATGGCGCCAACAACGATGATCTCCACGGCCGTTCTCTGCTGCCGCTGGGTCTCGGAGCGGAGGGCGGCAAGCCTCTCGGATTGCGTCCCCTCGCCCGGATCCAGCTCCGTCTCCTCCGAACCGAGGGTGAAGCTTTGGCCGAGCATATCAGCCAAGCTGTTGGCCTCGTCGTTCTCCTTTCTGGGTGCAAAGAACTTGGGCTGGTTGAATGCCACACCCCCATCGCGAGACCCGCCCTTCAGTTTGTCGCCTCGCTTGGCGGCAGCCCCGCGGAAGAAGATGTTCTCCCCCGTCTCCTTAGGTTTCGCGATGAGCGCCGGCTGGTTCGGCGGGTTTCGTAGCTTGTGGGCCGGGTTGAGTGGTGCAGGCGGCACCTTGTACCAGAATGCACCACTGTCGGTGTTTGTAGGCGCCTGGCCGAAGGTCCTCAGAGAGCTCGCAGGTCCCTGGCCAAACCCCCCCCTTACTGCAGGCGAGGGCGAGCCTTGAAGCGCCCGGTGTGGCGACGACTCCACTGTTGGTGTCCAATCCATCTCATCACTGGCATCGTAAGCTTGCGTGTTGGGGGTTCCGAATTGTTGAGAGGCAGCACTTTGGAAGCGGCTGGAGGAGAGAAAGGGGCTCTGTGGCTGCATAGGTGCCGGTGTAACTTGGGGCGAGTGTATTATGGGCTTCCTCGTTGGCGTCGTATTTGGAGAATCCAATGCTTCGTTGAGCATTTCTGCAAACCCCTTGGGTTCCGAGGCTCTCTTCTGGGCCAGCGGAGCGTCTGCCCTGGGTGGGCTTACGGACGCCGTCCCTCCAAAGAGAGGCGTGGTGTCTACCTTGATAGCACGCAGCGCCAGGGTGTAAAGCTATTCACTAGTTAGTCTCAACCATACCTATAAATAAACTGCCGAAGACAAAGGGAAACTTACCAGAGACATGGCAGCAGCCATGACCAGATGCGCACTGAGTTGGGCGTTTTTCGGCTGCCCGTCCAAACCAACTAAGTTGATCACACCCAGACGAAATCCAACAATGAGCAGCTGGAAACAGTACCATTGTCTCAGCCCTAGCAAATGTCTGGTGAATCCACGGACCACCTTAACAAGCTGTGGATTCCACCATGCGACAAAGAGCCCTGCCCAAAGACTAAACCGTAACAAAGCCTGATCTGGTGGCAGCATGTCGAGGACTCGTCCTGCCTGAGATTGCCACCCTCCTTCGTCCTCCGGGTCTGACATGCCGCTCTCGCTGTCCCTTTGGCTAATGATGATCTCCATGAGACCCTTGAGGTGCCAGCTCATCTGTAAAAGGAACGCTCCCCACCAGATCAGCCGGCCGACGTAGTGTACCCAGTCTAGCTTGGAGGTTCGCTTGGTTCGCAGCCGCGCCTGCCGGCTCAAATCCATCATCTTCCGCAGATGGTCCGTCTTGGCCGTGTATCCGGCTTTGTCGATTGCCGAGTTGACCCTGACCTCGCATTGCTCGCAGACCTGGGGGTATCGCTTTTCCAAGCCCCGTCGAAACTTGTAGTAGTCGCGCTCGAGCTCCTCGTTATCCGGGTCGTCCGAGTCTTCGGGTAGGTACTGCGCCAGCGACGCCGTGAACAGGTGCTGGTTCTTCAAACACGTAGAGCAGAAGATATTCTCAGTGCGCGGCGATGCTTGTCGTGCTGTTGTGTGCTGTACGCCCGGGTGTGATTCCTGCACCATTGCGACAGGGGGGTCCGTGATCTCTCCATTCTGCAGAACTCGTGTCAGTACGAGGCTCGCTATCGACGTGTGTGTTCTCTTTTACGTACCTCGTCTAAGTAGTTGGTCGCATCGCAGTTGGGGCAATCGAACTCGGTCGTGATGCCATCGAAGCGGATTGTTGACCTCTTGCCGCAGTAGAAGCAGCTGAGGTATCTACCGGCCCGCCGGCGCATGCTTCCGTCTAAACACCAAAATGCGCGCTATATGCTGTAGGATTGAAGAAACAGGTGATTCTGGGCTGGGCAGAGAGAGCTGGCGTGTGTTGTAGGGTGGCCGTTGTGTCCGCCGTGGTCGTGTGCTTTGGGAGGTTTGTTTGTATGCAAGCGAATGAATGTAAATAGGCCAATGCAGGAATTGAAATTCAACAATGACGGAGCCGAACGGTTCCAGGGGCTCTTTCAGTGCGCAGGCTCCACTAAAGGCCAGCAGTCCAGGGCCTGTGCGTGCCGTGCGGCCTGTGGAGGCGCCCGGGATTAGTGGGTCCACATTCACGCCTGCCTTCAATCCATTTGATGGACGAAATCGGATGCATCATTCATCCTCCCACGACTGCGACTGATGCACCCAATTCCCGTCCAGCTTCGACCCCAACCCGACATGTTATAGTCGCCATCGCATTCGAGACGACACGCCGTCTCAACACTCTCAATCCCATCAAGAAGGCGGTCCCCCGAAGATGCAGCCATCATGACGCCGCCTCTCTGCCTCACCATTCGCTTCTCCAACTCCCTCCCCGACCTCAACCTTGACATCCCGTCCCCCGAATCAACCACCATCCTCGGCCTCAAACGCCTCCTCCGCTCCAAAATCGACTCCCGCAACCGCCTCCGCCTCATCTACCAGGGCCGCCTCCTCGCCGACTCCTCCGCCCTCTCCTCCGTGCTCAAACCGCCCCTCCAGCCACCTCCCACCCCCAGCCAGGACCACCATGATCCCAAGGGCAAAGGCAAGGCCAAGGCCGACGACGATGCCCTCTCCCCCCCTCTGCGCATCTACGTCATCTGCTCCGTCGCCGACGACGAGCTCTCCCAGCCCGAGCTAGACGCCGAAGCCGCCGCCGCCGACCTGCCCCCCGCCCTAGACCAGGACGGTCTGTCGGGCAGCGTCCAGCAGAAGCCATCCACCCGCCCCCGTCCCCGCGGCTTCGACCGCCTCCTCACCTCGGGCTTCACCTCGTCCGAGATCTCCACCCTCCGCACGCAGTTCGCCTCCATCCACGCGGACCGCTACCCCCCGGACGCGCCGCCCTCGCCCGACACCCTCCGCGGGCTCGAGGACTCGTGGATCGACTCCAACGCCTTCGGCCAGGGCCTGGCCACCACCGCGGGCGGGGGGGAGGACGCCTCCGGGCTGGGCCAGGGGATGGACGACATCTTCATCCGCGCCATGATGATCGGCTTCTTCTGGCCTCTCGGCAGCCTGACCTGGCTCCTGCGGCAGGAGGGGCTCTGGAACGACAAGTGGCAGATCTTTGTCGCCGCCGGCGCAGTGCTGAGCCTGCTCGTCGGCACCATCGTGAGCATATCCGGGGGTCGGCCGTGATTAAAATATCGTTGTTGAGGACGCAAAGATACATTATTAGATTATATGGGTTTACGTCCGGGTAGTCTCTTGGGTTGGAGTGGGATCTGCTTTGCATCACGACAAAAGCATTTTCTTAGCATGAGACATGATCAGTACTTTTTCTTGGGCGGGTTTTTTTTGTACAATAGAGTTTAACATCAGCACGGCGTTTTGAGAACACAGACACAGACACGGACACAAATATATACTCATACTCATAGCTCACATTGAGATTACATGCTCTTACGTCAAAAAGGTACAGCAAAACTATCCACATCGCGCTTCAAGAATTCTTTTTGTGATCCAGGGAAATGTTTAGGCCGTCCTTATCCCCTATTCCCCCCTATGCTCCCAATGCTCCATTAACACCTCAAACCAATGGTTGCGAACAGCAAAGATGGCGTGCTGTACTCTGGCAGAAAAAGACCCCCCACACACATGTATATACTATATAGTCTAAACAATCAAGAACGTGAAACGGGCTAGTGCGTTGGGAATTAGAGGTACAGACTCTGCGCGGCGACAATGTCCCTGCGAATCTTGGACAGACTCTCCTCAAACTTCTTGGTGAGGTCGTCGTTGCCCATCACCTTGGCGGCCTCACCCATCTGGCGCAGCAGCTCCTCCAGGCGGCGGAAGAGACGGATCAGCGAACCTTCGTACACATTGGTCATTTTGCTGCGGCACCATGTTAGTTCGAACGTCCATCGGGAAAGGGGGTGCTGAAAAGAAAACTTACCAGATCTCGGAGAAAGGCCGTCCTTGTGCCCAAGTATAGACTGTGTCCATGAGCTCCCACTTGAGCTTCTTCACATAGTCGTCCTCGTTCACATCCAGCTTGCATTCCTGGCTGACCTTGGCGACAATGCGCGCCTTGGCCTGAATCTCGCGATAGGGTTTCTGTAGCGTCTCCTTAAGAGCACTGCTTTCAACCTTCTCATCGAAGATGAAGACACTCAACGTGGCAGCGCACATCTCGGGCGTCAGCTCGTTGAAGAATCTGTCAAAGAGAAGTTCGGAGAGAAGCAGTTCGTGCCCCTCGGTGGAGGAGATCTCGCAGGCGACTCGAGCCTTCAGCTGAACAACTTCGGAGTCGTTGATGAATCCCAGGCGACGGAGAACACGCTTGCGGGACTTGAGCTCGTCCATTTGAGCGATGCTGTGGGCCTTGGCGATCGACTTCTTCTTGTCCTTGACCTTCTCTGTCAGCTGGACCTTGTTGCTGTACTGGTCCCAAAGAGAAGGAAGGAGAGGAGACAGGTGCAGCGGGTTGGCGAGCAGCCTCGACTCCAAGACTTCGATTTTCCGCAGCAGCTTCTTGAACGACTCGTCGGTGATTTCCATGTTCTCCAGTGGATCGAGAATCGGCATGCCATCAGGGAAACGGCGCTTCACCTCTTCAAGGGACTTTGTAGCCAGGTCTTTATTCTTAGGAGACGCTAGACCGTCCTTTGGCATGAAGACGCGGATCTGCCCAATGGCCTTGATACATGTCAGCAGGCAGGGGACAACTTCGTATGTCAGGTCTTCTTCGCTTCCAGCGGGTGACACTCCAGGGGCCATATCCCCGCTGGGCTGGCCGGGAACGATTTCGGAACTTGACTTTGAAACCCCAATCAAAACGTCAATCACGTACGACTCCTGGGGAGGGTAATCTGGTTCTCCCATCTTTGGTGCGTGTCGGGGAACATGGTTCACAATTACTCCCCACCCGAAATCCAAACCACCAGCGACACCGTTGGGTGATTCCTTGGGGTTAAAGATCTGAATCGTGCGGCCGGGTTGCAGGTAGGATATGCAGTGAGTTGGGTGTTGAATGACGGCTCTCATATCGGCAGTGTACGTGTTCAGAGATTGCCGGATCTGATAGTAGTCCTTAACTGTGGCTTCGTCCGGGATGGTCAGGCTGTCACGCTCCTGTTGAAGCGACATCAGCTCCTTCTCTAGTGCCGGTACGCTTGCAGCATTTTGGAACTGGTAGAAACATCTCTCAAGCATAAACTCGGGTGAGATGGCTTCGATTCTCAAAAGGTTGAGAATCATGTTGTAGCCTAGGTAGAACGCAGAGTTCAGCTTGTCCTGCTGTCCCATGACAATCTCTTTGGCCGTCTCGGGCTCAAGCTTGTCGTCAACCATCATGATAACCAAACCACGAGCATCCAGACCACGACGTCCAGCACGACCGGCCATCTGAATGTATTCGGACGAGGTGAGGGGTCGGTTCTTGATACCATCCCACTTGGTGAGCTGCGTAAATACGACCGTCTTGGCAGGCATGTTCAAACCGATAGAGAAGGTTTCGGTAGCGAAGAGAACCTTGATGAGAGATTCTTGGAACAAAATCTCGATGGTCTCCTTCAGGATTGGCAAAAGACCCGAGTGATGGACCCCGATACCTTTTTCTAACAGAGGCAAGAGGTTGCCAATCTGAGGGAGGTCACGGTCCTGCTCTGACAAGCTCTCGATGGCGCTGGTGAATACCTTCTTAACCATGGCCTTCTCCGAATCGTCGTTGAAGGACAGTCCAGTGATACTCATAGCCATATTCTCGCATTCACGCTTGCTGAAGTTGAAGACAATGACAGGGTTGTGCTTCTTCCTGATCGTCATCCGGATAAGCTTGTTCATGTCGCTCCCGTCATCACGGCCACCCTTATTGGTCTTCTTGTTCTTGCCCTTGCCCTTGAGCTTCGCTTTGGGATCGTTGGACTCTGATCCCTTTCTTTCTTCTACTTCCTGCATGACCTTGTTGAAGTTGGCTTCGTTGAAATTGCCCTTTTCGTCCACCACAATTCTCGCTCCTTTTCCGCCACAGGGGAAGAAGTAGTTTTGGAGGGGTGTGGGTCGGAAATCGGTATAAACGACGTGACACGCTTGGTGATGGATCTTGGCAATCCACTCGGCGAACTGGAAAGCATTTGGAATGGTGGCAGACAGAAAGACGTAGCGCACCTTGTCGGGCAGCATGATAATCGTCTCCTCCCAGACAACGCCGCGGATCTTATCACGCATGTAATGGATCTCGTCGAATACCACCCACGCCACTTCCCGCATAATCTCTGAACCACGGTAAAGCATGGATCTCAAAATCTCAGTGGTCATAACCAAGCAACTAGCTGTGGGGTTAATCGTGACATCGCCGGTCATCAGACCAACGTCACCGAAAATGGCTTCGAAATCACGGTATTTCTGGTTACTCAAGGCCTTGATGGGACTTGTGTAGATGACTCGCTGGTTGCGCTTCAAACACTGCGCGATAGCATACTCAGCAACCACAGTTTTTCCAGCACTGGTATGCGCCGAGACCAAGATACTCTCCTCCCGCTCTATCGACGCAACTGAAAGACTCTGGAAGGGATCGAGCTTGAAATTCCACGTTCGCGCGGGCTCGGCGGGCGACTTGTGCTCGGAGAGAGGGACATACTCGTAGTCCAGGTCGGGCGGTAGCGCGACCTGGTGCTGGATATTGTGTGACAGCACCAGGGAAGAGTCCTGGGGGACAAAGGTCGCCGCGGCCGCGACCTCTCGCGACTCGGCAGTCTGGAAAGTATCGGTCAACACGGGAGCCGCCCCGTCCTCCTTCTTCCGTCGCTTCTTGTCCTGCTGGCTGGGCGTGTCGGAGTCCTCCTCGGACTCTTCGTCGTTTGATGTTTCGGTCGTTGCGTCAGCCATGTCGGCCTCCGCGCCGTCGGTGGCCGCCTTTTTGGGCCAGTCGCCGTTCATGGCCTCGTCGACTTTTCTCTTCTTGCTCTCCTTGCTTCGGTGGGGGAGCTGCTCCTCCTCGCTCTCGGCGTTAGGGCCGGCGCCCCCATTGAACACATCGAACAGCTCATCCATGCCGACAGATTTCGGTGGCTGGCGCTCAGCTCTCGACCAAAAACAATGCAGGCGCTCCGCGGAATGGTCCAACAAAACCGTGGGCAATCACGCGCCCCCGTCAGATAAAAAATATGATAAGTAAGGAGGGTGGTGTCGGGAGACGAAACTCATTCAAGCTATGCGTTCCAGTGCAGCTTGTCCGCTAGCATTGGCCTGAAAATCAAGCCGGCGAAGTTTTGTCTCCCTGAGTGCTGCAGTTGCTTCGATCCCGATCTTGAGTGTGCATCGGTGCTCGGCAGCCCAAAAAAAAAAGTAAGTTGGGAAGTGGGCCGTTGTGGCAGAAAATCGCTCCAAGCCCGCCCCGCCGCTCATTCAAAGGCGGTGACGCCACACCCACCAGCCACATGCGCGACCGCCCACCCGGCACCGGCGCATTTCGAAAACATGGGACCATTTCTCGTTCACATGACTCAGCACGTGATCTTCTCTCCGCCAAGCTTTTGTCATTGGGAATCCTCTCCGTCTACTTCCTGACCGAGGATATCACACCACTTTGCAACCAGCAAAAGCTTCAACCCATTCGCATCCCGTCGTCGCAAAGCCGCAATCAAGGTCCGCACACCTCGCCCGCACGCCCTCGAGCCCGTTGCAAAGCTAATTGACCACCGCAGATGCTCGCCCGCGCCGCCGCCCGCACCACCACCCAGCTGGTTTCCAAGCGAGGATTCCACGCAACCCGAGCCCGCCTCTCCTCGCCCTACCACTACCCCGAGGGCCCCTACTCCAACCTGCCCTTCAACCCTCGCAGCAAGTGGTTCGGCGCCGGCTACTGGACCTTCATGGCCGCTGGCTTCTTCGCCCCCTTCGGCATTGCTGGTGCGTTCCCCCGTTGCTCCGAAATATTTTCGTCCTGGTCTGAGAGTGAGTCGATTGCTAACGGGTCGTGATAGTCTACCAAACCTACAAGCCCCAATAAGCTTGCGGCGTCGATAATGATTGCGGGATATCGCAATTGGCAGCTCAGGATGGATTATCAGCGGGTTGCTGTGTACAATACGTAGATAGCCCATCAGCACGGTCACATCAAATACTTCCGTTTGTCCTTAGCACCGTGCCCCCCCCATCATCGTGAATTGCATGTCAATTGATTTGATTGATACACGCCGGCGGCTTCAATGCATTCCCGGCCTCTTCCCAAGCTATGAGCGCTGCTTGGTGTTATACAGTACTACCTAATGTTTATATACACCCAATAATTATATAATGTTCGTTGCGTCATATGCCTATCGCTTTGTTTTGGTACACTTGATGCAAAGTATCCCGGCTCTTATGTCTCGACTTCAGATCCGAGCCGTCAAGAATGTTGGTCAGCAGATCGTAAAGAAACTCGTGGCGCTGAGGCGCAATATCCCATCGCCTCTTCATATTATCGAATGCGTTTAGGACATCCCGGTCGTCTGTGGAGCACTTCCGGACCGCTCGCAGCGCCCATATTACCAACCAGCTGTCAATACGGAAACCACGAACGCGACAGTCCCGTGCATTGTACAACGCCGACAAGACACCATTCAGGCGTTGCAGAGTCCACGCAGTGTCCCGACCTGGTCCGCCATGAACATAGAACCCCTTGAAGAGAGCTAAGAATATAGTCGGGTGGACGAAAATCCGCAGATACTCCATCTCGTCAAGGTATCTGGCGACCTTCTGTAGGTCGCCTGCACTGATAGCAAAATGCTCGACCATGAGGCGATAGGTCCGGATATTCGGACTAAGCCACATGTTGGTCTGGGATGTTTTCACCAGTTCAGGGTGGTCCTTCCCCAACCTGGCAAATATAAGGAAGGCCTGGGTCAGGACTTTTTCCACGCGATAATCCTTCTCCGGTAGCTTCTTGCCCGCAGGGCTGCTGTCCATCATGCGCCTATATGTCTGTTCGGCTGCCTCGACCTCGCCGCAGCGCAAGAACCCAGAAATGACACAGTTCAATGCGACAGTATCAATAACTTCGCCCGATTCAACCATCTCTTTGTACGCAGCCCTGATGCCATCAGAATCCAGCCTGAGGCCGAAGTAGTATATGAGACTGACGTGGTGGAAGCGGTTAAATTGAATTCCTCGCTTCTCCATTTCCCCGTATATCAACTCCGCGAGTGCGAAGTTTCCGAGCTTCGACGCTGCGTGAAATAAAATATTGAACGTGACTTCGTTCGTGTTGTCCCCCAGCTCCCGTTCCATTCGTCTCCAAAGACGCATGGCAGAATCAACCTGGTCCACGCCATTCCCAGCATGTTTCGTAGCCAAAGACAGTGCAAAGTTCCATTGTGATGGCCTTATAGTGAGACCTGCCTTGGTGACGTCGGACATGAGGTCAAAGTACCGCAGCATGGCGCTCACATCTCGCTTGGGCGGCCGGGCCATAACCAACAACAGCTTGTCTCGCCATCGCGCAGAGAAGTTCAGCATCCGGGGCTCCGGGAGTTTCATGTAATGATCAAAAATGGTAGAGAGACTGATTCGATGAGGGTGTCGGACTCTGAAGCCAATGGCGCCGCATAGCCTAGAATTCAAGGTTTTGAGCTCATCACTGGGAGTGTAGACCTGGTCTTGGGATGGGTAGTCCACGTCGAGCTTCGCATCTGAGATTTTAATGCTCGGGGCATCGGGTATTGCATATCCACTTCGATAGGTATCTCGATAAAAGTCGAGATGCTCGCTCACAGTGTTCTCGGGCTCTCCATCAACATAGGACCGCAGCTTTTGCCTGTCCTCCAAAGACAAGTGCGGTACAGACCGGCGGGAGTCGCTCGATACCGCCGCCGCCGCCGCCGTGCTGTAAGCCTGTCTAACATCTCGCTTCCGGGCTATCGACAAAGCCGGTCGGGGCTCGGGGCTGGGGAAGAAGGTTGAGCCGAGCCATTGCGAGGTTCGGGAGCAGAAGAACGAACTGCCAAGTTCGGTCTTGTTCGAGCCGGCTTGGGCGCTTTTTGGTTTGCCTCTGGAGCTGCAGAGCTGCCTCCGCCCGGAAGCAAGAACTCCCCTAAGACTCGACGAGGAACGGTTTGAGAAGACCGCACCACAGACGGAGCCATCCACGCGAGCGGAGATTTTCATGGGCTCTTCCTCATGATGTTGCTGCTTCCTGCAGGAAAAAAAAGCTCGTGTGGGCGCCGGAAAAGAGAATCGGGGATGAAGAGAAGCTCGAGATCGAACCGAACTACCGATCGCAGGGACGAAACAGTGGAAGCACAATGGATTGTCGGCCTGGCTCCAATGCGTGCAATTCTTTGGAGGTCATGGATTTGATTTTTGGCCGTCGATCTACAGGGGTGGCGCCCGCCGGTACCGTCTCCGTGCTTGTGCCAACTTCTCAGTCCCCGTTGGTTGGATTAGATGGAGACTCCAGACACCACGCGCCCGGCCTTACGATTCGCCGAGCTAAGCCCAAAATTTCCCAAGCTCAAGCACCCCATCACCACTTGGAGGTAGAATTATCAGACGAGCACGACGACCCGACTCCCCGCCACTCCCCAAGGTCAATTGGTCACGGAGGATCCGTCAGTAACGCCCACGATACCTCCCGCACGCTGAGCCCCGGCTAATTTCTCGCCCAGACTCGGTGGTCATGGGTATCAAGCAAATCCGGCCCGCAAGGGTCTACAAGGCCGCCGAAAACGAACTGAGCAACAGAATCCTCCAAAACAAGGCCATCCCCACGCCGCCTTGGTTCGAAGTCGTAAACTCCGTCCCCCCCTCCGAGAATGCCGTGCGGACAGTCGCCCTGCGCCACCGCGCCGCCGGCAAGAAGGCCACCAAGCCTCGAAACCTCTACCGACCCCAGCAAATCACATACCCCGAGGACAGCCTCCGCAGCACCTTCTACAAAGACCACCCCTGGGAGCTGGCGAGGCCGCGGAATATCGTCGAGACGGACGGCAGGGACGCGCAGCGCTATGACTGGAGCCGTGGTCTACGACAGCGCGGGATGCAGCTGACAGGTGAAAGGTGAGCTGATTAGGAACCGGGCTGTCAAAAAAACAGGGAGGTGCAGAGAACTAACCAACTGTTTTCCAAATAGCGTTGTGCAGCGCCAGCTCTGGCTGATGGAAAACCAGCAGATGGGCCAGGAGAAGGCGTACGACCAAGCTCGCCGCGAGTTCTACCGCCTACGGCAGGAGGAAGAGATCGAGAGGCGAGTGGCGCTGGAGGAAGCGAAGTACGTCGGTGCCTACTTTGGCAAATCGAGACTCGACGTGGGTCTCCAGCTCGAGAACGCCGAGTACGAGAAGTGGAAGGTTTGGGCCGCCAAGGAGTCCGAGAGGCGTGAGGCGCTACTTCAGGAGAGCAGGGCCTCCGACTTTGAGGATGAGGATGCTGATACCGAGGCTCTCGAGACGGCGGGAGCTGCCACTGAATCATTAGGAGCTGCAGAGAACCGATGAACCATGTTTATTTGATGTATACAACATGTATAACTATGTACAAGAACTGCATTGTGGGATGAATATTCCTGCTATTCCCGGATTCATGAAGACGCCCCAATTGCCGATCCCAGCGGACGACGCTTGTAGTTGAATACAAGAGGGCCAGCATTGCTCACGCCGTAGCGCTTTGCGACCTCCTCATGCTGGACTGCGAAAGCATCCGCGATCCCAGTGAAGTGGAATAGCTTACCAGTCAAGCTAAGTGAGGTGATGCGTGCCCATGATTCAATGTACACAAAGAGGCATTTGTCCTCGGGGATGATGTAGAGGATCTTCAAGACGTGCACAGCCAAGCCAACAAAGAACCCAGTAGCCGGCCCATTAGAGAAGATGAGTCGAGGGAACCGTAGCGTCTTGCCCACATTATTGGCGGGGGGTGACAGCAGAACCTGAAAAATGCCGTAAAGGCTGACCAAAGCGGAGAATGGAGTGGTCAGAAGAGATTGGTGAACACGCCGAGCTCGGGCAACAACTTTCGTATCGTATGTTCCAGGCGACTGGCCCTCCTTCTCGCAGAGAAGCTTGACATCATTCTCAAAGTCTGTCAGATGATCCAAGGACATGGTGTCACCGCTCGAGATGAGATAACGTCTGTGGAAGTTTTCGAAATGACAAAACCCGTCATCCATCATCATGAGCATTTCTTTCGTGTGCCCACCGGATCCCAGGACGAAGAGATAGTAGTCGTGGGGCTGCTCGCGGGTCTTGACCCTTTCGCGGCTATGCGACCATTGCACCTGTCGCCGGCGCCGCTGCTGCGACAATTGTAAATGCCGTATCTAGAAACGTTCAGCGACATTGCCCTAGGGGGTGGGATACTTGATGCCACTTGCGCTGAGGAATGATAGCAAGAGGGCGATGGCGAACAAGGAGGATACAACGGGGCCTGAAGCGAAGGGCTGAACAGCAACGAAGCCGACGACAATACCCAGTCCCCCAAGCGTGATGATAACAGCTCTCGTGGCGGTAGCTTTATTCTTGTTTGCCATATTGGCTCTTTTGATAGGTCTCAACCCTCGAATTATTTCTCGAGCAACAAGTTGTAAGGAATGAGCTAGCAACGAGTATGGACACCTGTCTATGTCTCATTCGTAAAGCGTCGTTGTAAAGCTAAAGGAGGACAAAGATAGGGGAGGAAATATAGGTAGAAGATATTATATTGTAGGTCTGCATCGGACGCTTCAATGGACAACCGGACTCGACAATCGCAATGCTTCGTAGCAGGGAATAACTTGGTTATTGCATTGAGGTCTAGGTTAGGCCTCGAACTGCGGAGGCAGGTGAGAACCACTGCTGTAGCACTAGCCCAACTTTTTGCCGTACTTATACCTCACACTCAGACGCAGAAAAAGCCACACCAAGGAAGGAGAGCTGTGTTACATGACTATTTCCAGTTCTCCCACTTTATATCTTTCTAGCCACTACCATCTTTTTTTCTTTCACCTGATGATCTAGATGTAATCAGCTCTCAAGGTATTCTCAGAAGACTCGACGTCTCTTCTTGATTGTACCCCCATGAACCGCCAAGTCACCAGCAGCCGCCTCATTCATCCGCATGATTGTCCGCCTCGTAGCCTCTATCCCAACATCTTCAATCACTCTGTCCATCCCGTCCCCCGTCAGCGCAGAGCATTCCAAGTACCCCTCTGCGCCAATCTGCCCAGCGTGCCAAGCAGCCTTGCAGTTGAAAGTCAGCCCAAGCTTGGGATAATACAGCGAGCTTCAAGATAAGGGTACTACTCACATCGGAAGGGCACACGCAACACAGCGGAAACGGGGGAAACGACGCGGGGGCGCGTGCTCTCCTCTCCTCCCTCTCCAAGAACCGCTGCTCCCTCAGGTCCTTCTTCATGCCCACGAGGTGGAGCATGGGCACGAACCTCTGGCTCTCGAGGAACCCATCCACGACGGCGTGGTGCCACTGTTGTACCGCTTAGCTCTCTCCCCCCTGTGCTGTGCATCGCTTTTGGACAGGAAAGACTCACCCAGGATAGAATGCTGAACATGGAGATCTTGTCCATGGTGTCAAAGCAGAGGAATATGGCGTCCCACTTCATATACGACAGCGTCGTCACCGCGTTCAGGTCCGGCGCTCCAGAGGTATCCTAAAGCTCAATCGTGGCCGGCTGCGAGTCGTAGACCCGGTGGTTCTCGTACACCTCGTAGCAAGTTCTGTTGATCGCCGTCGCCTGTTTGAAGCACCCTCATGAGAAATTGTTTCTTCCAAAAGTAGGCCATGTCTTCAAAAAAAAAGAAAGGAAAAAAAAAAACAATAAAAGGGGGAAGGACTCACATCAGGGAAATATCCATATCGAGAGCGACTGTCATAGGTCAGTATCCAGGAACATCAACAAACAACACCCTAAAATAAAACATACAACAACAAAGACGTCTGCCCAGAATTCTTCGGCCCGACAAACAGGAAATTCAGGCGAATCGGCTCAATGGCGATGAAGAACGGCTCTGGCGTCGGGCTTCTGGCCCTCTTCTCCTTGTACCCTCTGTGAAGCAGCCGCCGAAAGAAGCCTCGCTTTCCGCCAGGATGGTCGTCTCGCGCCGACCTCAAACCCAGAACCGTGGCTGGCCTCACGGCCGCCGAAGCTTGGGGAGGTGTCGAGCTTCTCCCAAAGAGAGGCGTGGCAGCACGGAAGAAGCTGAGACGTGTGGATGCTCTTCGGGAGGGCTCGGGTTTTTGAGGCGGGTGGAACGACTGTTTGGTGGTGAGCGCGGGAACTGTTAGTTTCTTGGGTCCAAGATGGGAATGTAAATGAAATCAATGATAAATTGGTGGAGACAATCATACCAGTTGCGTAGAAGGCCTGATTCCGAACGGACCTTCAGCAAAAGGATCTTCTCGTTCGACTCGGTTGGGGATGAAGCGACGCCAAGATTCGATGAACCTGGCCTGTTCCTGCGAGAAGGGTGCCATTGCAAGCAAGTCTCATCCGCACAAGTAAAAGAAATTGCGAGATTGAGGTGTAAAGAAATTGTTTAAAGATGCGTTGAGGAAATGGAACTAAGCAGCCGATGTGGAGGTCAAGTTCGACGAAAGATACCGGTCTGCCAACGGCTGGCCAGCACTGTTCACTTTCTCCTCACATTTCCAAGGCGCGTGCCCATCTACTGCTTCTGCATATGCAAGCACCATACGTGTCATCACACTTCAGCCATGCACGAAACGTCAAACGGCACAGAAAATTGCGGCGTAACTGGCCGGGGAGAAGGCCACTATCATAACATTTTGTCTAACTCTCTAACCCCGAAATACCGTGTTCCATCCCAAACCATCCGTGATAAGACCAGAGAAGAAGAAGAAAAAACCTGCAAAAAACTGCCCGGGAAGAAAAAGTAGAAAAGGGATGACAAAGAAGTAAAAGTAAGTAAAAAGGGAAGAGAAGAGAAAGAGATCCCAAGATACGAGGCAAGTGAGACTATTTAGCCATTGCCCCCAGGATCAGTATGCCATTGCGCCAAATTATAGCAAGGCTGCATGTCCGCTATGAATGGCCAGACTAGCTGAGTATGCAGTGAACTCCAAATTTTAAGAGGGGTATGAGCAATCATGAACATTGGGGAATTTGGAGGTCTCCAGGACCATCTTTTACACCGCTAAGCCCAAAAATCAAAGCCGGCCTCCGTTTGCGCCAGAAACGAAGCCAAAGTAATGAACGAAAATGACAAGCAAAGCAAGAATAACGCCGAAAAGCTGTGTCGCAAGGTCGATCCCAACGAGTGTCGTGTCCGCTCTCGAAGGAGCTCCCCATGCGTTGCAAAAGGCGATGATAGGCCATATTTCTTTGCTGGCTGAATGGAAAAAGCAAAACTTTCAAGCTGGTGATGTTTACATGCTGACGGCGCCTTCGTAGTCGAAAAATTCGTCCTCATCTCCGTATCCGTTGATATCGTCATGTAGCCGACGATGCTTCGGGTCCAATTCCTTTCTAACTTCCTTCTGGATTTGAAGGAAGTATCTTTTTAGGCTTTTGAGGCCCTTCAAAAATCCGGCATCGGGCTCGTCAGGGTGTTGCGGCGGACAGGCTTTATCCTGAACTCTGTCGTAAGGAGTCAAGCTGTTCGCAAAGTCTGCAATTTTGAAATCGATTTCCCCTTTGTTTCTCTTATTATATCTCGTCATCTCTTCAGTATCCGTCGGCACGTCTGTAAGAGATTCATATGCCGTATCATAATCCACCGAATCCTCCGAGGCGCCATCGTAGAACATCAGAAGACTAGCGGCATAAAATCGGTAGCCCCGAAGACCCTGAACAATTTCCTCCAGCTGCGCAAGCTTTCTCAAGACAGCGGGGATATGCCGCAAAATGCTCTGAAGCTCGTGACCATTGTAGAGGAAGTTTCGAAGAGTTGCCTTGAACTCAGCACCGGCCTTTAACCGACGCCCAAAATACTTGTCCTGGAAGTCATACGATTCGCGTTCAGCATTCCAGACTTGAAGGCCGCAAATTCGCACGCCGAGCTCGGCGGATGTCGTTGTTCTGCATTTCTCCTGTTGTGACTTTTGCTTCTTGGGGCTTGCATCAACACCATACTGCCGGGTGCCCATCTTCAAGTCCATCATACAAGGTCTCTTCATACCAGCTGTCAAATCCTCCAAGAGCAAAAAGTACTCGACCCTGTCTCTCTGTGTCTTGGCCTCCTTGGGGTTGACAGGACGAGGTATTCTCTTGAATTCGTCTCCTGGGCTCGGCAAGTCGTAGACCGCTGCATCAGAGGCCTCAGCGAAGTCTGTCCTCGCCGTGGTATCAATACCGTGAGTCCCGTTAGTGCTCGGAATGATTTCTCCGTTCTGTGGAGGGGTATGATCCAACTCTCCAACACCGATATCCTCACTGTCCCCCTTGTAGCCAGCGTCATCTGCCTCTTCGAAGTACTTGAGATCGCCTCTTGGTTCCTGGACATCCGTCGGCTTGCGACGGAGACCACCAGCAGAATATCGTCGTTTCTTCTTAGAAACGAGAGGTCTGTCTCGAAGAATCACGGGTTCTGGAGCACTAGTCCCGGTAACATCCTTGACATCTCCTTCAGGTACCTGTTCGACGTCCAAAAGTGCTGTGTGAGAGCCGGGGTCGCTCTGTGTGTGTCCAAATAGCGTAGCTGGTGGCGATTTGGGAAGAGTACATCCATGGAGCGAGGGCTCCTCACCACCAAAGTCTCTGTTCATGTTAGATTCTGAGTTTGACGAGCGCAGCAGCCGACGCAAAGTAGGTCGAGGGATTGACCGCTGGTGTGGTGGGCGGTGCTTATGAACTTGTACTGGCTCCTTTAGGAACGCATCGTTGAACACCTCGTTGCGTAGGCGCTTGTTGACAGTAGTAGCTCCCCAGCTGTTTGGACGATCGTCCATCGGTGGCCTTGCCTGGACAGTGGCTTCCGTAGACGGACTGTTAGCCTTCAGAGTAGAAATACTTCGACGCCTAAAGTTGTTCGGCAGAGGGGTGGGCTGTAGGAGATTTCGCGGTAGAATATGCCTATTGTTATCAAAGGTCACTGTTGGGATTTGTACATTGGCGCCTGCGAGAGACTGGCTAACAACACGGCCATGGCCGCCTGTCCGTGCTACAGGATCAACATCCGGCTTCCTCTGCTCGCTAATGGCGTCTTTTGCTTTCTTCCGCTCCGAAACAGCTGCATCATCCTTCTTGGATGTACTCTTCCGGCGTGGTTGTTTTTGAAAGGTGACATTGAGGACGCCAATATATCTAAAAGAATCCGTTAGACACAAAATATCATGAAACGGGGACACGAGAAAGTCGGGTGGGTGGAGAGTCTAAAATAGATGGCATAGAGATAGCGTACCGGGGTAAAAAGCGTAGTAGATTGCGGTGGTATCTCTCAATCGTTTCGTAAAATTCGTTTTCGCGATTGTTGAGCTGCTTGCAGACGGCTCTCTTCGAAAAGCGCCACAAGGTTGTGTGTCCTCCTACCTGGTGTTTGTAAGGGATGAGCTGGATGGTCGATGCTGGTTGGCTGACATCATGTTGATGTTCATGAACGTGGTCATCATATTGATACGCAGTTCGTGCCACTGGTTGCCCCGGCGGAGCATAGCTCTCGTTGTCGTCTTCAACAGCGCATTCCTCAGAGGCTTCAGACTTATGGTCACTACGGCCTATAGATACAAGGCTTTCACGAGACCGATATCGAGATAGCCGCCCTGCCTGTTCTTCTTTATCGACAACAAGCTTTACCGGCTCAGGCTCATCAGCTTTTACCAGCCAAGGGTGGGTCTCATCTTCCGAGAGAGACCTGTCGTGGGGAGCATGCCCGGGAGGCACGTTGGCAGCATCCCTAGAACGTGGTTCGCCAGCTTCCTGGTGTGGAACAAACACAGCAGATGAGATCTTTTCCTCACCAGACTCGTCGGCGTCCCCATCATCGGGGGATTCTCCGACCTCGGTACTGTCACCTGACTGCCCGCCGTGTATCTGGTCCACACTTTCGGCGCTGATGGCAGTGGACGGAATCGGCCCCACATGACGTTTGGGTGACAATGAGCCAGTGCTGGTCAAATCCTCCTGGACTGGTGGTTGCAACCTGGGAATGGTCGATGACGAAGCGGTAGTCTCATCGGCGTCATACTTAGGAACAGTGAAATAATCAACCTCCAATTCCTTGTCACTGTTCTTTGCCGACCGGGGGGTTATGATTGGCGTGGGCTTGGGTGGTTTGTTGATGTCTTGGTCGTCACTAGGGTTTTCCGATCCGTCAATTGCCCTCGGCCGCGCTTCTTCTGTAGTTTCGGGCAGTTTTTCCTTGGACGAGTTCTTCGTTTCGCGCCGGCGGGTCTTGTCGTCTGATGGAAGACCTTCTTTGAAAAATCTTAGGCTATAACTCGCTTTGCGACTGCGCGCATTGTGTTCCACCCCAGCCATGGCTTCGGCAACTGACTTCTCAACCAATCCATCCTCTTCCTTCCCATCTACAGAGCCGATGGACCAGGCCTTTCCCATTGTCTCGGCGGGTGGTGGCAGCATAACCCTCTGCTCGGGAGGTTGCCTGTAGCGCGAGCCATAGTCCTTGTTAGCATCGCCATTAGCAAGGCGTGACTGGTCCAACAATGTAGGGCTCGTAAAGTAGTTGTTGGTCTTGGTCGGAGTGGTCGACTCGACGGGGCTCGTGGAGTAGGAGCATGCCCTGTTCTGGTCAGGGAAGTAGGAATCTCGTTCAATGTCAAGCGAGGCGGAGGATCTGCGAGGGGACAGGACGGCGGTATCACGGTGGCTCAGGAACATGTTCCCAGCGGTCGCAAAGGAAGAATGGCTCAGAGATGAAGGAACGCTGGACACATCACGCCCAGGGAGCGGTACAGTCGCAGTGACGGTGGCCGGGGCCGCCATTATAGAGGGCTGGAATGGGTGGGGCGTCAATGGACTGTTATCGCCATGGTGTGCATTGGCTGTCGGACCTCGTAGCTTATCGGGGGCGGGAGCAGGCGTCTTATTATTCTTATCGTGATCAGAGAGGAAGGGGGCAGAGGTGGAGGAGGGGGAGGCGTCGCACGGCAACTTGGTCGTCTGTCGGGTACCAGCAGCGGGACTGTTATCTTTGTGCGGACTCGTGCCCAGCGTCGGGGCCTGCTCAGGAATGCCACGGGCGGAGGCCAATGCCTTGGTCAGTAATGAGGGACCGGGCTGCCTCTGGGCGGCAGCGAAGGTACGAGACTTTTTAATGTCTCCTGCATTGCCTTGGGCTCCCTCAGGGGGAGCAGACGGTGTGTCATCGGTGGGAGGGGAGTGCATGGGAGGGTTGGCCAGGACTGTGTCTTCCCCAGACGCCTCGGGGCGCCGCACCGCTCTGTCTCCAACTGCACCTACAGAGGCGGGACGTGCAAGGTTTAGAGGAACGGAGGGTGCGGCATTTTCAGAAAGGGAGTGCGTGCTTGACATGAGCTGCGAACATTAGGTGTGCGCAAGGACGAATTGGCGGGCGTGGGTGGGTGATTCGCAGCGAGATAGAGGATGGGGTTTTTTTTGGTGGCATAAATTGGAAGGGAAGAGTTAGGTGTGATGAGAGAGACCGATGAGACAATCAACAGGTACCTGTGGGGAGAGAGAAGAGGGGGGTTGCGCTGGGGACAGAACCACGGGGCCCGGTGTGCCGATAGCAGGAAGGCTCCGGGCGGCGTCATCAATTGGCCAGTCGCCATGGCCGAGGAAGCACGACCTGCGAATATCGGCCTTCAGTGGGAACACAGCACTGGGCCACAAGGCTGGTTCGTGGGGTCCTAGTGGCTGTAGGTCGGGCTCTGATTGAAGGACGCCCACTGACCTACAGGGGGTGGCAATACGTGCCATTAACGGGCATGGACCGCTGCAGTGCCTGTCGGTCGGTACATTATCTACCTACCCCCCGCCGGATGAAGAATACCCGGCATGGCCTCTGCAACCACTGGGCGTGCGTTGGGTGGCCGTGTAAGCCAACCATGGCCAAGAAGCTGAGCTCATTGTGCCTAATCGTCTGTCTGATAGGTACCCAAGCGGCCCAAGAGCCAGGGGCGCCGTGTCTGGACGAGCAATTTGCTTGTGACAAGGCTTATGGGCATATATGATGGCTATGACGGCAGACCGGCTCCTTCTTCTGCGAAATGAAACCTGTTGTAATTATCAACCGCCATATTGAAAGCAATGGCTGGCTTGGGCAGAAGCGATCATATGTCACCACCCGATTGCTACAACCCATGTGGGTAGGGACTCCTCCGGTATCATGCACAACTACGGAGCCTAGGCACATAATCTATGTAGGGATAGATAGAGTGCTCCGAAATAATTTGGTCTCCATTATTTTGACATCCACCATCCCAGTTTACAATGCTATGGCACGCCAGTCCTTGGAAAGCTGTTTTGTGTGCAAGCCCTTGACTCCCATTGCGAATGTATAGGGTAGCCTCCACTTTGACGGGCGGCTACTGATGTAATCCCGGAAATTTATGAGGCAAGAGCCACGGGTCGGGGTACTGCCTTGAACCGGGGTTGGGCTTAGCTTCCGGCTTGCAACTTCTCTCCTTCAACCTCCCATCGATTTCCCCACGTGCATCACAACTACCACAGAATGAGCTGACACCGCTTAATGCTCAGATTCCCCCCAAGACCACCCACAGAGGCTCCGGGCCTCCTTTACAGGCCCCCCATCCCCTCCAACTTCTAAGTTCCAGCCAAGATTCATCAAAGTTACGCGCATGTAAATGGAGCTGGGCATGGGGCAGAGATCGGCTTGGCCTGGCTCGAGCGCGCTTCATATGAGGTGTCTTCCCTACAGTATGGATCGTCTCCACTGATCCGACCTTGTGGACAAATCTGTCCCGGTGGTTGGCTCTCCAAAGATAGATCCATCGATCAACTCTTACTCTTCCCATCCCCTTGTTCGGAATCGGTATCTCACATCGAAAGTTGGAATTCATCGGCATTACCCTTCTCTGCCGCTCGCTAGACTATTGGGTTGTGGGATGACGCTACACCGACGATTGCCTGCCAGTAGCCAGGAACGACAGGGAACAGGGCCAATGAGGGTTGAGTATTTGGGCCAGCATACTTCCTCCTACCCCGGAACGACGGAGCAGCCCTTCACGTCAACTCAAACCAATGTGTTACACCAAGGATTCATGGCCGCGAGGTACCGGCTACGTGCGCTGCAACAAGACCCCACCCCTCGATACACAGCTTGGTTTGCGATCTCAACGTCGACAAAACTCTGACGCGTGGCACTCTCCCACTTGTCACGTCGGACCAACCACGTCTCGCTCATCCCCAAGAGCCTGAGAATTTGGCATGTGTTTGCAGCGTTGGTCAATTACTAATAGATAAGGCCTTGAAAGTTTACCCTCTCGCACTTGACCACAGTTACGCCACCTTGGAAACTCTAATAGGTGCGATGTGCGTTGGCAATGTCTGGATGAATGCACGGTTCTCTTCCCTCGAATTACGTGCTGCACCGCCCATCCATTCCACCAATGTAAATTGGTTGTCGCGGAGGGAAGGGCGAGCTCATCCAAGACAAAACGCAGGCTGAAGCTACATGATAGGCCACTTGTGTCGGAAGCTTACCAGGGCTGGGAGCACGTTGTCCCGTCCGCGATCTCAATTGGAGAAAAACGGCGCGGCATGCAGCCGAGATCTTCGCACACCCTGTCGTTGGCTCCCTTCACTAGGATCCTTGCTCAAACAGTATGAGCTGTCAAGCCAGGGAGAAGATCAAAGCGTAGACAAGGTGGCGGATTTGTCCGCAAATCTCACGCCTAAATGCTGGGGAATGCCTCCGTTGTTGAGCTGACAGGACGATAAGGTGCGACCGGGGATGGCTGTCGAATCACAGTATGACCAAATTCCGCAACGTCTACTTGCAATGGGTGTCTAGCCCATCCTAACAATTAGGATCATGCCATCCGAAAAGTGCCATGAATGATTATGGCACTTTTTTTGAAGGTGTAAAACATTCCTTAAGGTCCGCTACATCTCGACTTCAATCATCAAAAGCCAATGCTAGTATCGAACTACTAGTAGATTTGTTTTCACATTTCATTTGGTATTATCAACAGTCAAAACACTTGCACACAAACACGGGATTGCGTCCTTGTGAGCTACTGACCCGACCGTGGTGTGATACTTGATCGTCTTCCGTTCGAAGTTTCACTGATCTCCGTCCCAGGAATGCATGGGCAGAAACCCCACTAATAGAAGCATAGACGAATGGAAGTCGTCTAGAAGCAAGGGAACACGAAGCTTCAATGTCGAGCTCGAGTCATCTGACCCTAGCTCTGCTCTTGTCTAGTCTTTGTCTTGTTCAATTCTCCCGAAATGAGGATGGCTCATGGACCTGCTGTCTCGAATACCCCTGCAAAGACCGGCCTGAATCTACCTGAACCGGCTGCGGGTTCCGTCAACCTAGTCCCCACGTGCATCGTAGCATCTTGACAGGGTTGGCTCAAAATAAGATAACCTCCCTCAAATAATACGGTCTGGTCAATTAGGAATTACACCAGACGAGCATGTTGATGAGCGACGCACCCTAATGAAACACGACTATCACCAAAGCTCACGAAGTATGCGCCCCTGTTACTTGCTTGTTTCACCACCGGTCTAGCGACGGTGAGTGTATCCTGGCCCTCGGTGCCGGCCGGCGCTCGAGTGCGCTCCCGTCGGCCAGCTTCCATTTGGAATTTTTGAGACCTTGGAACAACAGAGTCAAGGTTAAAATGTGACAGAATTGGGGGGCGAACCCGAATAAGTGTCCATGTCTAGGTTCTGGAGCGCCCCGTGTGACACTTTACGACATTTCAAGTGCGACAAATTTCGTCATCTCGCTTGACTCTTCCTCTTCCCTATGTATGTAAGTGCGTCCAGCTGCTTTTCTGGTTTGTCCTCGTGCCCCTCCAGAGTTAGCTTTATTTCCCCTTTTCTCACTCCCATCAGAAAGTCTCGTCTCAAAATCCTTGGTGCGTGGCCGCCTTGACTCATGGTAGACATCAGTGTGGATTTGAGGGAATGCGAGAGTTCATCGCACAACCAGAGGCCTCAATGGGAGCACGTGGATGGCAGGACTGCCCGCCAGAAAGAAAATTGTAATAAAGAAATTGCATAATTCGGTCAAATTTTTGACCCTGTCAGACACGCTACACGAGGAAAAAGAAAAGAAAGCGCGACTAGGCCTCGCTAGAAGGCGAACCTGGATCTCGATGGGCCGTGGTCGGTAGTGGCTGGACAAACTACTGCACACATGGCGACGGTGTTGCGCAAGGGGGTGGAGAAACCCGTCGGCACAGCCAGTATCAGTGTGCACACGAAGGAGGAAGAATCTTCTTCCCTCGTGCTCCCTTCCGGACCGCCGTCGTTGTCTGATCATGACACATTGTTGGGCGGTCGAGTTTGTAGCCGGGACCGGGATCACGCATGAGACTCTGATATCCCTGGTACCGGCTATTGCTATGACAGTAGATAAAAGAGCCAGGGGAGCATCTAGATCCCCGGGAGGAAGAATGGATAAGCACTTTCGGAGTTCCCACAGATCCGCGCCTTGCCGCTATTGAATGAGGGTGTGACCAACGTGCCATGTCGTCTTGGCTTGTAGTGGAAGCGACCAAAGCCAGACCGCTTGTGATACCGCATTGATTGCTTGGGCGCGGATGACGTGTATCCACCGTGATCATCTCAAGGTGGTCAGGGCCGTCCAATGAGGGAAGCAGTACATTGAGCTGATGCCTCCGTGTCGGGGCAGGGAGGCTTGGCATCGAAAGGTAATACCGTGTCATTGCATGTAAGTGCCAGAGGTTGGGAGGGCAGATGGACTGTTCCTCTCGCCATCATGTGATGCTAGAGTGGCCTCCTCATACCACTATAGTTCCTTGTTACGCTGCCTTTATGGTACTGATCGTACTGATCAGGATATGGGTCTTTTCTGAACCAAAGATGCAAGCATCGACGCTCCTCATGATCAATTTTTCCAGCAATGTCATTCTAGTTCTTCTTCCGACTACAAAATGTATTGTCTAGGGTAGTCATCGTGGAAGCAGTCATGACCAGAAGAGTTGCTAATGCATCGCTGTCTCATTCATATGTGGTATATCGGGCTATTTAATTCGACAAAAGCTGGCAATTCGAGGATATGCGTATCAACTCCCCGTCATAACAATAAACGCGCATCCAGCGCACCCAATCCACCAACAACAAAAACTCATTGCCACGAGATAATCTCCCAAACACCCCATAGTATGAATATAAAAAGAACAAGCTCTAAGTCCAAACTCCATAATATGATGCATCTGCCACTGTGTGTTGTTCTAAAGGGCCCAAATGTCCATTGGAACTGGGTCGTTTCCAGATTCCTTGCGTGCCTGTTCGAGCTCAACGTCTAGATTCCATGGCTGTAGAAGCTCCTGGATGTCGTTGAAAACATCTTCTAAAAGATCATCGTTGTCCATATCTGTCCCGAAACCGCTTTGTGATCGAGGAGTGGCTGAGTCCCCTTTCTGGGGATGCATGGCGGATCCTAATGTTTGATTTTCGTTAAAGGCAATGAAGTTCTCCGCCATTGCGCAGGCATCTGGGCTTCCAACAGTCTGCTGGGACTCGGTCGGGAGGATGCGCTGTGGGCGCTCGGCTGCTCGACGAGCAACGGCGTCGAAGTGGTCGCGGAACCTATCCTCGCCTCCCTCCTGTGGCACATCCGCGATCGAGACTTGGGGCGGTGGCGAAGATGGCCGCCGTCTTTGGCTGGGCGATAATTGATCGTTTTCGGAAGAGGCTGAGTCTATATCGGCCGTAGCTTCGTGGGGGAGAGGTGCCCAAGAAACCCGCCGATTGACTTTACTACTACCCCACGGGTTCTTCATTGCAGATGCGAGAGCTTGAGTGCTAGGGAGACCTCCGCTTGAAAACCTGGGACCTGCGCGTGCTATTCTGCGAGCTCTGCGCTCGGGCGATGGTGTCATAAATGCAGAGAAGGGTTGGAAAGGAACCTCGCTCTCTGGTGTAGACTGTCGTCCGCCTTGGGACTCCGAGGTCGGGTGGAATCTGCCAATATCGCTCTCCAGTTCACTCAATCCGGCAACCTTCTGGAAGGTATCCTGACTCGCTACCCAGGGTGATTGAAGACTGGTTGATGGTTCAGGATCGAGCTTCTCAGAGTCACCGATCGGTGATCCTGAAGGAGCTGGGACAAAGAACTGAGAGTATTGAGACTTTGACCATGGGCTTTGCGGTGTGTTGATCTTGAGTTGGCCGTCGGGGGCCCCAGTCTCTGGTTCATCAATTTCTCCACTGTCCTGGGTAAACACGGCCTGATCAGTCGTAGGAGTTGTTGGCATGTGAATGCTGGTGTCCGCCTCCATGCAAGGGCCTCCCAGCTGTGAGACTGGGGGTTTGTTTGTGAGCCCCTCACCGCTATTATCGGTCTGGCTGGACTCGTCAGAGTCGGAGTTTTCGGCCGAGGGGACTTCTTCTCTCTCTATGGTCTCTTTAATCGAGTTGGGAGCAACTTCATTTTCCTTATCTGGAGCACAAGATAGCTGTTCCGAGGGGGCGATTGATGTTGCGGCGATGGGAAGATCTTCGGCAGATTCAAGTTGAGGTTTAGTTGTCGCAGTTGTTTCATTTTGGACCTCAATAGGCCTCTCCTGTGCCTGTGAATCAGAGACGGCAGCTAGTGCTCCGACCTCAGACTCTCCCTCGCTGGAATCAGATTCCTCGGAGCTGGAGGTGGAACTGGAGCTGGCCGCGGGATCGTCGCTATCCTGCGAGCGTGCCTGTACATCTTTGATTGCAACGCCAATGATATGTGGTGTTTTCTGGACATTTGAAGCGTCATCCATTTCTATGTCTGAGCTATCGGATGCAGATGAAATGGAGGTCATATCCACGTCTTCAGTATTCCTGATAATTTTCGGTTGAATGGTGTCTTGTGTGATGTGATCGGCATCTGACAGTACCTCACTACTTTCTTCATCGTCCGAAGCTGAGCTCAAGAGCGACTCAGCATCATCAGACTCTGCATTGGATCCTGAAGATGGGAGGTGGCTTCCGATTTCATCAGTCGTCTTTGTGGTTTTTTCCACACCAAAACTGTCGTCTTTCCGAGTTTCCGTCGCTGTAGAAATTCCTATTTCTTGGTTGATTGAATCCTGGTCTAGTAATTTATCTCCTTGTTTTGGTGACGTAGATAATCTCTTGGAACGCCTGGGGCTGGATGTGTATTTACCCTCTCGTCCGAGTTTTTGCTCCACTGGTCGCGTCCATCCCTTGTTGGAGACTGGGGATGAGAGAGTAGCAGCGGCCTTGAGGTCTGCCTCATCTTCGTGGGCAAGCTCATCTTCAGAATATGAGGAGCTTCCCTGTGTGGATTTAAGTACACTGTGAGGGGAAACACGCTTTATAGGGCTGCTTCTCCGGCGCGTGGCGCTCCTGAGTGGTGCGTTCACTGAGCTCGTGAGTTCGTCTTCAGCGTCAAACGCCGCTTGAGCCTTAAGGGAGCGTCTTTTGGAAATGGCTGATTGAGCGGCTTGTGATGGACGAGGCGGTGACGCAGCATTGGTTGCCGGCCTGTTTGATAAATTGGGAGAACTTCTCGTTCTTCTCGACCTACGCAGAGGAGCGGTGTTATTCTCTTCATCGGCTCTCGGTCGTTTGCTTGTTCCCTTGAGCCAATCCAACCCTTCGGCTAGCTTCCTCTTCCTGGAACGAGTTTGAGGTGAGGTCGATGCGGTCGAATTTCCAGCCCAGAATGCATCATTTTCCAGGTCAACGGAAGGGATCGTAGTTCTCCAATTTTGTACCCTGGCAACCTCATCTTCTTCCATAAAATTATGGGTGGCCAAGGGACCCTGCTTAAGGCTCTCAGGGCTCAGTAAATGGCACTCGAGGGTACTGTTTGGTTGTGTCTCGTTCTGCGTTTGTGATGGCTGGGATGTTCGTCGACTCCTAGTAAGGGATGGCGTGGCATTCGACTCGACTTGGGCGGTGGGTTTCGACCGTTTCGACCGCCACGGATTCGCCCATCCTGCGCTCCCTTCAAACGGCCCTTTCAGTGCTGATGATAGGATGAAAGTGTCGTCACCGTCAAGGAACCGCTTTGCAGCAGCGGCGAGCCGTGCTCTCCGAATACCAGGGCTTTCGTAATATTCGTCATCGGATCCTTCGTACAATACTTCGTCCGGCCGACATATTGACTGGCTGTAGAGGTTTTCTGGTTCGTCCTGATGCTGATCCGCCTTCTCACAAAACATGGTGGAAAAATCGTCGCACACACAACATTGATACACAGCTAGTGGGACAAGAAAGAAACAAATCAGACCGCACAGTAATGAAGGGGGGAGTGTTGGCGTGGTATACGTTGTCTCTGTCGAAGAGTTGGAGGATCGAGCAAATGGGCCAAGTGCAATCTAATCTGAACCCTACTTGGACGCACCTACCCTCGAGGAAGGTGGTGAATCGCGTCTAGGGCGACGCGCTCGCGTTTTCACGTGACGGCGCGCAAAGTGGTTCGGCCAGTACGTACCTTGGGTGAATTGGCGGGAGCTAAGGGGTTAATGCGCTAAGATATCTGGCCATCGTTTGACTACCTATGGCATCATAAGATCTTAAATTACAGGCCGTGTGTTTGATGTTAGAAAACTTGTAATCCGATTTCCTGGACATTTCGATCAAGATTAGTTACCTGCAGCCACCATGCACACTCCTCTGGTCCCTGGATGCAACCTGGCAGGCCACGTGACCCACAGTGTCTCATGTGCTGCAGATCTGTTGGCAGGGCAACAGCCTTTTTTAATCGCACCACTAGCTTATCCCTGCTTTGTTTACCTCCGATCGCTTTGTCTATCTGCTCATGAGGCACAAGCCCTGGTTTCGAAACGCGATTCCTGCTTTCGTGGCTGACCCTCCAACTACAAACTTCCAGCTCCAGACTACTCTGTACTAACCAGCAGCGTTCGCCAGCATCATTCATCTATCTCGACATTTTATTTTCGATTCAATCGTTTTACTATTTATCGTCTAACACACCACACTACGTTTCGCCTTTCCGTCTCCGCCATCGCTCTTCCCGCCCTGGCGCAATTCGTGACCCCGCATACCTTCAACCGCGACCTCGATTAGACATGCGCATCACTGCATACTGAACATCCTCGAGCGATCTTAGCCTCTCTGGCGTCGCAGCTATGGAACACGCCTGGCTGGACTCCTTATCAGAGGATTGGGTTTCCCAGCCCGGATCCGTCAACTCCATCGCACAGCTCCCCTCCTCAGACAAGAAAAACAAGGCACATGAACACCCAAGTCGGATACCCCGTAAGACGTTGGATCCCATACCGAAGCTTTCACCTGCAAACGAGCATGGCGACAGTTATATTCTGGGGGAGCGCAGTATCAACGACATCAACATATCGATGCAACGGTTATCGATGAAAGCGCGCCATGAGATCAAAGCATTTATGAGCAACGGCGACGAGAGCCAGTCTGCACCTGGCTCCGCTGATGGATCGGTTGTGCATAACACGGTCCACCGATCACCATCAGGGAGGAGCATTAGACTCACGCCTGAGTGGAAGCGGCGTCTGCTCCGTGGTGACATGCAGTATGGAGAACAGCGCGATCTGTTTAGCTCAGCTGCCGTTGGTCTTCAAGACATGTTCAAACCCCCGGTCGCCGTTGAAGAGGACCTCCCTGAGGAGATCAACGAGCCACATGAACACCATCTCGAGTCTACAATGCCGTCCAGCCCCCCACTCTGTCACCGCCGAAGCAGCATTGACCTGGCAAACGAAGTCGATACTTTCGAAGAGGAGGACCATGAACTACCGAATGAGGTCACTCCAAGCCCGAGCCCTAGGAGATCAATGCGAGGTTTCCAATATAGGCTCAACGTTGAGGACACGGGGCCAACAAGCACTCCTCCAAGCATGACCATGGGCCAAAGAGGAATGCTCGACCAAGACCAGAGTATTCTCAATGTACCTTCAGATGCCGGAATCAACTCAAGAAAGGCTAGCGGGCAAAGTGAGATCAGGCACGAAGACTTTAGCCCTATTCTGATCGGAAAGCATAGCGGTGAGGCGGGAACGGTCGAGTTTACACCTATTGAAGTTCCTGCCAACCAATTAAAGCAAAAGCTGGAGCGTTTGCGGATCAACCAAATGCTGCTGGACCCCGATGTAGATCTTGAAGAGGCTTTCGATGGCGAGGAGGTTGATACCAACGAGTTGGCCCAACAGGCAGCAAACATCAATTGCCGCAGAGGTGGCAGGTCCCAGGACGGATCTTTTCTGTACCGTGGGCTGAGCCCTGACATGGGCTTGGGCGGTGATAGCTCCGAAATGCTGCCTGAAGAATCTCTGCAAGCCAGCACACCAAAACAGTTCCCGACAATTCGAAACGACACAATGAACTTCAATCGTGGCTTTGGGGCCAGTCCTTCGATGCCACGGGCACCATTTCCAAGCCCTGAAAAGGCTCCCAATAGACCAGCGAATTCCGGCGGCAGTCCACTTAAGCTCTTCGGTCCCTATGACACATTTACCAACCAAACACTGCTTCGGCGCATCAGCCAATTTGAGGAGGGCACCTCGGCTACGCCATCCAAGAACTCAATCAGTCCCGCTCCGTTACGCGAGAGGCAGCTCTCCTTTGATCAGGACGACGAGCACCCAAGATCTCCGGATTCTCCAGACTTGCCAGCACTGGATGAATCTCATTTGATCAGCGAGTTTGGAGCTGGCACATTAAAAGATTACGAGTTTACTTTGGGCAACGAAACAGGAGTTTCGAACAAAGAGAACATCTCTCCTAAGCCATTCTCATCACGGCCATCATATACCTCTCAAGATTTGCGTGAGTCGTCGCCTGATGATGGCTCAGAGATCATCGTTCGTCGAAGACGGGATCCATCCAGGTCAGTCTCAGCTGGCACACACACGCGAGTCACCTCCACATCTAGCCAGAGACGACATCCTGCCACCCACCCACATATGACTTTGGAGAATCTCGGCTCGCCAAAGCGGGATGTTGACTCCGAAGGCAAGCGGCCAAGGACATCCCCAGTGAAGGACCCCACACCCAAGCGCAGGAGAACTCTTCATCGATCAGATATCGCGTTTGGGCGAGAAAACCTTGCTGGCATTGACCTCGGCCCGAGCCAGCTACAGCCAGGCCAAGGTGAACGTAGCCAAGAAGCTCTACACAGCGTATTTGAGCTGGCCGATCCCCGAGTTCTAGCTACGCGCCCAATTTTGAGGCCGCGTATTTCCAGTGCAAGGCCCCAGCTGGGCGACGTTGGTGGCGAAGAATCCGTTCTCAGACCAAAGACTGCGCCGAATCCGGCCCATTGGAAAGACGGAACCTTACAGGCTGAGGAGTCTCTTGCTACTGACAGGAAGCCTTCAATTAGAACGCAAGATTTCGTTGACCAGGCAGCACAGATCATGGCCATGATTCGAAACCAAGTGCGGCCCCATGGGCTCTCTAGTTTGGAAGAGTCTGAAGCAGAGTTTAATAGGGAATCAAGCCCGGCTCCGTCCGATGATGTGCGCTCAGAATCAACAACAGAGCCTTTCTCTCGTCCTCCCAGTCGCGAAGGGAAGCCCGCTGTCTCTAGAACACCACTTCGTCACGATGATCCCGAGCTGCTCAACAGGTTGAAGAAATACCAGGAGATTAGTGACATGGGGGATGTGTTATCCTCACTGCGTTCTATGGGTTTTGTCCTTGAGGATTCTAATGCTGATCGGCCACGTGGGAAGTCATCTCTGGAGAGAGCTAATGGCTGGCTTAGAAGCCCAATGGCTATAGATGGTGAGCATGTTATTAGCGACATTCCTAATATCCGCATCACCATGAACCCAGCGATGGCCGCCGCGACGGCCAGTCCCACCAGGGAATTCCCTTCCGATTCTTCGGGTCGCTGTACGCACCGCTCATATCCTACTGCGTCATCAAGAGGATCCGAGTCACGAAGAACAATCATGCCTGAGAGTGTCTCCCACCTCATTCCAGACAAGGTTGGAAGCATGCAATTGGACAAGAACAGCAACACATGGGTTAAGAGTAAAGATGGCGCTCGAGAGCAAGAAGTCAACGTCGTGCCATCGGATAGCAGCGAGGACGACCCGTTTGCCAGCATCCCGGACCTCTCAGTGGATTTGACCAAGGAATTGCAGAATCTCCGGCTAGCGACAACCCGCAAGGGAGAGGGAGCTCTGAACATTGAAATTTGTGAATCACCCAGCAGTCCACTCGCAAAAGGCCCCCCAGCCAGGGCATTTATGACTTTCTCACCTGATGGCCACCTGTCACCAAATGGCTCTCTTGCGGCATCACGCCAACTTCGGAGCGTTAGCATCAGCAGCCACTCGGGCTCAGACCTGGGGCTCAGTGAAGAGCTGCCTCCTCCAGTGGCTGATAGCCCAGAAACACAGCCTGAATCCCAGGCTGCGAACCGCCGTCATATGACGATTTCATTTTCATCACCAGTAGCATCATTCATCCACGAGGCACACTCTGAGGAGCGGGATAGCCAGGACAACGAAGACGACGAGGATACCCCAGTGGCGTTGGACCACAAAGCGACTGCCACGACGATCCGAGCTCAGGGGCAAAGATCCATGAATAAGTCAGCCCTGAAGCATCCAGTGCAGGCAAATGGCCGCGGAACTGCCCGAATGCCGCCCCGCCAGCTTTCTGATGGCGATTCCGAATTTGTTCCCCGACCAGTGTCCAGAATTGACGAGCAGGACGAAGATAGTACCGTCGAACTGCCTTTTCATGATCAGCAGCTCAGCGTCATTGGAGAGACTAGCATGGTCAGCCATAGGACACCTAATGCGCGCCGTACAAGTCTGAGTTTCATTATGAACCATACTCCCGGGAATCAAGCCCTTTCCTTTCTTGCCGATGATAGCGCCATGATTGGGCAAAACGTCGGGAAGCTGTCTCTGAGCCCACTTTCTGAATTTACGGTCAATAATTCGGACCAGTCCTTTGGATTTGAAGTTAGTTATGTCATGGGACGACGGCACATGGAAACTGGAGATGGTGCTAAGAAGGTCTTGACCATGTCGATACGTAACCTCGTGGACAAGCTTAGCCAGGTTGAGCCACATGAGCCATACTGGGAAGACCTTGCAGACCTCAACCTCAGCGGGAAAAATCTTGGCAGCCTTCACATGCTGGATGAGTTCTGCGGCAGGGTGGTGACTCTTGATGCTTCTGGAAATACGCTTGCTCATTTGGACGGAGTGCCATCTACAGTGAGACAATTGAAAGTCTCACAGAACATGCTCACGGAGCTGACCTCCTGGGACCATCTATGGAACCTGCAATACGTCGATGTATCTGGCAACGAGATCAAGAGTCTGTCGGCTTTGAAGAATCTCGTTCATCTTCGAAGCGTCAAGGCCGACAACAACCAGCTGACGTCACTGGATGATCTTGATTGCCATGATGGCCTACTCTCATTAACGGCCCGGGACAATCTTATTGAGGAGATCGACTTCACGACACTCAAACTCGAGCGTCTAACAGATCTCGACTTGACGGGTAACAAACTTCGCTCGATCCGAAAGATTGAGCTTCTGCCGTCACTCGTCCGATTGAAGCTCGGTAAAAATCAACTCGATACTCTGAACTTCCCGAGTTGCATTGGGGCTTTGCGGCAGCTGGATGTGAGCGACAATGACCTGACCAGCCTTGATGTTGGAAATCTGCCCTGTCTGCAGAGCCTCTACGCCGATCGAAATCTCCTGACCAGCCTAAGGGGCTTTAGCAAGTGCCGACGGCTAGATAGCCTCTCCCTTCGAGAACAGCGTGGTAACGGGACCCTAGATTTGAGCTTCCTCGCAGCTGCATATGAAGTTCGGAAGTTATTCCTGTCTGGAAACTTCCTGGGCGCGTTCGAGCCCTGTGTAGATTTCTTGAATCTGCAACTCCTGGAACTGGCGAATTGCGGACTGCAAACTTTGCCTGAGAAACTCGGTCAACTTATGCCGAATCTGCGCACCCTTAACCTCAACTTCAATGCTATCGCCAATTTGGCCCCATTGAAGTTCATCCCTCGGCTGAAGAAGCTGCTCTGTGCTGGCAACAGACTGGCAGACTCGACCGTGGTGACAGAGCTCTTGACAGATTTCCCTCATCTGCGACAGCTTGATGTTAGAGATAACCCGGTGACACTTGGATTCTACGCCCCGATACAGGTCCTTGTGTGTAAGGAACGCAAGGGGCCTGTGGATCCCTTTGTCCTCCCAGACGGCGACTCAGCAAGGGATGAGCTGTACGCTGGACGTCTGGACGAAACAACCAAGCTTCGCCGTCGGTTGCACCAAGTAGTGTTCACAACGAGCTGCAGGAAGCTTCGAACGCTGGATGGGCTCACCGTGGAGAGGCAAACTATTCTACAAAAGGATGCGGTCCTCCAGACTCTGCTCTCCGAGGGTCTGCTTCCATCTCTTGACGAGGCGAAGGCGCCAGCGCCCGAACCAGCCCAGGAAGTAGAGTCTGCAAAGGAGCCCGTGAAGGCGTAGATACAGGCGTGGGCCGTTGGGATGCAGACTGCCCGCCTGGACGCACACTTCTTACTCGCGAGGATGAATTTGGAGAGGCAACCTGGCCTCGCCTCACGATTTTTGTTTCTTCTTCACACTTAATGATGCATTGCGCGGCGTACGTACATAAGGGGCTTGGAGTTATTGGTTACATGCTGTTTTGTTTTCTTCTTCTCTTCCACTGTCCCTGTTCCCCAGAAAGGGTTGTTTTGTTCATTGGTTTTGTTGGAGTTTATGTGTGGTATTGACATTGTCCGGATTTTGATTCAGGCGGAGAAGGATGGGGAAATCCAAGATGCGAAGGGATATGAAAACCCTGGAAATTGGGCAATCGGGATTTGGATTTCGGTTTACAGGGCTGGGCGCTTTTTACTTTTCGCTTTTGTTTAAACGGGAACAACTGGGCATGTACGAGTAAAACAAAAATGGGGGGGATATTGCCTGGAGAATTGGCTTGATGTTTTATGAATAATAATGCTCCTTCATGCTCATATCGTCGTCTCATAATTATCTGTGTGTGGCTCCTCACAATGGGGTAGTAAGTAAAGTGCGGGGGATGTCCTTTCCACATATCCTTTGAAGTGTTTTTTTTCTCGTTTCAGTTTGGGACTTCGTTTTCGTTCCTTTTTGTGATTGTGATTTTAAGGTGAAATGCCTTGATGATCATGTTGGCGAGTTTTATTAACGAGCCCGTTCGCTATAGCCTAACCAGCAATGCCATACGGTAATAGTCCAGAATAAATGGAATCATATCTTCATTCCTTGCGCTTCATCCAGGAAATAAATAGAGAAAATAAAAACGGGGCGGGAGGGGGTGGTTGGGAGGTGGGGGGAATGGCAGAACGAGAGAAAAATCCATCAAACTCAGGGACCGACTCAATGGCCGCCGTGGCCCATGATCTTGACGAACTCGTCGTCTGGCGCGGTAAGCTTGGTTAGCCATGTGCCGGAGGGGGGGGGCGGGCAGATAGCAGAAGGAGGACGACTTACAGTCGATTTGACCGTCGCCGTTCTCGTCGGCGAGCTTGAGCATCTCGTCGAGCTCGTCCTCTGTGAGGTGCTCGCCAATGGACTTCATGACGTTGCGGAGCTCGTCGCGGGAGATAGTGCCGGTGCCGTCACGGTCAAAGACGTTGAAAGCGTCGCGGAGCTCCTGGTCGGGGTCGGCGCTCTTGTGCTTTCGCGACATCATGGCGACGAACTCTATCGCTTGCGGTCAGCCTGGCAAAAGTCTGGGGAAGGCACTGAAGGGAGCTAGGAACGAACCATTGAAGTCGACGGAGCCGTTCTTGTCGATGTCGACCTCGTTGAGGATATCCTCAAGTTCGTCGGCGGAGGGGTTGAGACCGAGAGACTTCATGATCTCGCCGATCTCGTTGGTGGTGATCTCACCTAAGACACGGCATCGTTAATATGGTGTTATTAGGGGGCGTCAATTCGGCCCATATTCAGTTCGCCTCGCTTTGGAGATCTCAGGCGACGGCGGCGGACGCGTGTGCGTGTGGACGAGTGAGGTTGTGGATGGGTGTTGGTAGGTGGGAGCTTAGTACTAACCATCGCCATCCTTGTCCTATTGTTGATAGAAGGCGGCGTTGTTAGCGGATGGTCTCACACAAAGCATGTATAGCTATAGTAGGGCGGGGGCTATCTTACGAAGAGCTGGAAAGCCTCCTTGTAGTCGTCGATTTCTTGCTGGGAGAGTGTAGACTGTGGCGGCGAGAATGTTAGCAACGCGTCTAGCTAGTGGTGATGTTGGCTTCCATGGTTGGGGGGCCTCATGTTGGCAGGCAGCGCGACGGTCTGATTTTTTGTTGGTGGGGGAGGGGTAACCTGGCGGCCAAGAAAAATGCGGCTGCAAGAAAGGGCTGGAAAGGGACCAGGTAGCTGCGTCAGGCAGAGGACAGGAACAAGCATGACAGAGAGAACAATAGGGCTGCGGGGGGGAGGGGAGCACCGACCATGATGGATAGAAGAATAGACGATGCGTGCTTGGAAGGTAGCGACGGACAGACAAAGGGCGCGCTGGGAGGGGGTATCGCGGACTCGACTTGGACTCGAGTTGAAAGAAAAACGGACTCGCGGGGATGTTTGGCGATCTACGGAGTTCAACTGACATCTGATGTTTGAAGCAGGAAATAAGGCAGACGGCGGGGTTTGGAGGGGCAGAGTGTTGGCCTCACGATTCAGGCACCCGCCCCCATCTCACTCTCACACACACACACATTGCATCATTTGTTGTTGTTTGCAGCAGCGAAACACCCCGACGCCTATGTTACCCTCCACTGCTGTTCCCCGGCAGGTTGCCTTGCTATAGGTGGTCGCTTATGCAGGCCATCAAGCCCATCACTCGGCAGCCGCCCGGTTTTCGTCTTCCTGGCGGTCATCGTCGCACCCGCCAAAGCTGCAGGACTCGGATGCGACGCTATCGCCCTACTTACGGTACTGAGTGGCCTATGATTAGCAGCTGGAGGTATGTCCTTGGGGCACGTGGCCGCCTTGCCAGGTGAGCCCAGAATTAGTAGCAACTGGCTTGCTCTCGCCCACGGCCAGCGAGCGGTGGTATGCACATACAGTCCTACGCTCAGATGGTGCCTGTCGCCGCCTCATTCCAGGGTCGTCTAGATCAGCCCGGGCATAGTACAACGAGACATGCTGGATACGATCTGTCAAGTCGTCGTCGCCGTCGTCGTCATCGCTCGAGCCCACGCAGACGCGTCCCGCAAGATACGACCATCAGCGCCAAGGGACACATTTTCTCAGCGGCCTTTGCCGTCTATGTTTGGTCTTCTGAACCAATTTGGGCAGGGCTCAAGCAAAAAGCAATGTTTTCCTTGCCTCGTCCAATTGGTCCAGGAGGCGCTGATGACTGACTGCCTCAGCTCAGCTCGCTGGTCGTGTGCTCTTTTTTGCAGCTCCCCCTGTTAGCCTTGAGTTTTGACCCTCCGAGGATGGAATGCCCCTGCCCCATATTTTGCTCTCGTCCAGAGGGACTCATTAGAACTGATCCATCACTCGCTCCCACCACTTTCAGTCTTGACTCTCTGTCTTCCGCCCTTAACTGTGATAGGCTCACTCGAGGACATCGAAGCCCACCCTCCTTTGCACACAGTTGGGCACCAACTCATCATGAAACATATGTAACAAGGACGAAAATCGCGATTGGAGTATTATTATTTTGAGATGATTCGCTGATGCTACAAAGTCCACTTCTATCCTGCAACACAATATTCGGCTTTACGAGCATGTGAACGACCCCCCGACGGTTCCCGCATTATAGTCATCGACCTGGGAATGACAACGATTAGCACGCTATTCGGAATTGTCTGACTTTGGAGGGGAATGAGGGGAATGAGACAGAGAGGTGACATGATATACTTACGATGCTCTTGATGGAAGCCCACGTTCCACCAACCAAAACGACCATGCCAGCCGCAATCATGAATCCGTTAATAAACAGGGGCACCAAGTTCTTGCGGCTCAGAAGTGGGCCTTCGCGCAACAGCGTGAACCACATGAGTCCGGGTAGGTAGAGCGCGAAGCCAGAGTTGAACAGACTCGAGATCAAGGCGACCAAGTTGCTGAAAAAGGGAATTGCCTCTGCGATGACCCAGCCGACAAGGACGATGATCAAAACAGTCAGGAGCCAGGTGATCCAGCCGCGCGTCGTGTTGACATATCGCTCCACGCGGTTCGCATAGATGCGGCCGTGGATCAGTCGTGCAGCCGTCTGCGTGATGATGGCACCACTGATGAAAATGACGGGCAGCGCAACACCAAACGCGATCTTGCTGATGAGGGGCCCGCCGGAGAGCAGGGCAGGCGACTCGACATCGACGCCGACGAAAGCGTAGACGAGGGTGCCGGTGAGGGTATAGATGAAGATCTCGATGATTCCGGCTGTCCAGACGCCCTTGGAATAGTCGGTCGGGGTGTGCATCTCGTCCATGAAGGAGAACTGGCACAGAGTGAAGGTGTATGCGAGGATGACGTTGACAACGGCGACGAAAACTTCGTGGGCAGTCACTCCGTCCTTGGGCTTCCAGGTCCAGTTGATGGAGCTCATTCCTCCCGCCGACTCGGACGCCTGGACGCCGGTAGCGATGATTGTGATGCCGATGGCGGCGATGATGGAGATGAAATCGATGTAGCCGAGGATGGTCATCTCAGCAAACGAGGGAGGGACTGACACGAGGAAGAGGATGATGGCGGATACGATACCAAACACCAGACTGCAGGCGCCATTGTTGGTCAAGTCCTTGAAGGCAATCGTGCCTGTCAAACAATGCGAACCGGAGACGAAGATGAGCTCGAGGAAAAAGATGGCGTAGACAAGCTCGTAGCCCCAACGGCCAAACATCACCCGCCCCGCATCGGCGTAACTCTTGATCTCAGGGTACTTGACTTTGAGAGCACCGACGTTGTGTCCGGCGTAGATGGCGAGGAAGCCGAAGAAAACGGAGACGACGGTGCCCGCGAACATGCCCAAGATGGAGAAGCAGTAAGGGAGCGAGAGGGCGCCGAGCGCAACGGCCTCGACAACCAGGATCAAGGCAAGACGGCGCCATCCGAGCTGGTGGAATTTGGCATTGCCGGCGAGGATCTTTTGTTTCTCCCATTCGGTGACTTCCCCCGCCGCAAGTTCCCTGTCGGCGGCGGCATCTATCAGCATGGTGCTGGCCTGCTTCTTGGATTCCTTTCTCTCCGCTGCCGTGATGGCATCATCGTTATTGCGGGGAGCCATGTCGTGTTTTCTTCCCCACGGAGATCTCTACTTTTATGTCCTGCCCAGACTTTACGAACAAGGGTCAGACACCGAGAAGAAACTAATGAGAAGGAGGAGAGCAAGAGGGTAGAGAATTACGTTCACCCTACTTTGGGAGCACCAGAACTCTATATAGCGGTTCCTTCTTGCATTGAGCCTTTATATTACATGGGGAAACCAGGCCGAAGTCGGATGAGAAAATAACGGGCAACGCAGAGCAGGGTCCAGGAAACCTCTCGGCCGTCTGACCCTTGGCTCGTGCTCCAAAGAACAAAGCCGTGAATGGCACCCAGGAGGCAGTTTTTGAAATCGGGAGTGGAGAGTTGGGTCGATTAATGTGGATCTTGGCGTGTTCCATGAGTCTTCTACACTTCTTCTACCTATCAGAGTTTTCTCTAGAGACGTAGGAGGCTTGGGATTGTCGCCTCCCGCTTGCCTCCATGAAGAATGTCACTAGCTCTTCTAGCTGTTTTGAGATTGCCTGGCCGGTGCTCCACCAACCATGTTTCTCTCTTATGAGCTGTTGTCATCCAATCCACGGCTCTTCCGGTGTTTTCTTTTCGCCTCTTCGGGTCTCCCTTTGGAAGCTTCTATCAAGCGGTCTCCCAACACCCACCCCTGCCTGAGACAAGAGAAAGAAAACTTTTCTACTGACTCAGCCCAGTTCATCTCTTAGCAACTGCTTATTGCCGTTGCTCATAACTTAACTTTTCATGCCGTGGATCCGTCTCGGGTGGATTTCTTTACCTAAGAGTCGGTCCATTTTACCTAATGCCAGTCTCCGGTTGAGCTGCTCGGGACGGCTGGTCCGGGGTCTTTTGCGGCTGCAGCCAAGGCCCGGGCGCCAAGTCTCGGCGCCTCGGTGCCAGGCTACCGTTTTATCTTGGCCTTGTCTGGAGGCCGCTTGACCTCCTCGCTCTCTCTCTCCCTCTCCCCAGATTGACGATGCGCTCGTATTACGTACAAAGCTGCGACCTGTCAGTCTCTCCACGTCCTCCTCACACCACTCTCCCACCTCCGCGCCATCTCGACACCAGCGACGCCTCGGCTTAACCTTCTATGGTGGATTCTGGGGTACCGGGCAGTCGCGGCTTACTCCCATTCCGCGTCTTCACCCCAGTGTGCGGAACGGCATGTACCTTAAAACCTTGTTGATCCCCTAACGATGGTGCAGGAGGCCGTATTGGCGGCATGGGTGGTGGTGGGACGAGTCTTGCGGTTCGCCTCCCCGTGGAGAAGCGAGGCGAGCCCCAGGTTGTTAGGCTCCTCACCCCATGGGCTCTGTTTCCCGATGTCGGATTGCTTAAATGAGATGCTTCGCTTCGGGCTGTGATTGACCATCGTAACTTAATGAAGAAGGTGAGGAGTTCAGTGTGCTGTTGTATGCCATCCGTGATATCCGGAAATGGAATGCTATGGTAAGGGCGTACTCGGTTCCGATATCTTTATCCTCAAAACTATCAGGCAAAGCTTTTGTATGCTCTTCTTCCTTAATAGCGTGTATATGTTGAACGAAGTAGTTGTTGTTTCTATCCCAGAGGACGTTCCACTGCAACCCCTCAGACGTTCAAGGTTACCTCCTAGTCTTTTCCCACGCCTAAGTCCCTTGAGTGGGAGTAGAACTTGATATTAGGAAGGAATATTGATATCCTTCAACTTTGCTCTTTGCAGTAGAGCCCTGCTAGGCGAGGTGGTGAGAAAAAGCTGTGTTTTTCTTTTGTGCCTAACAAGGTAGCTCTAACATTAAGCAAAACCCATTGACCGTAACTCAAAACAACACACGTAGACCTCTAATCACTCTTCCTAGTTTGAGACGTTAGGGATAGCATCAATAATGCGTGTTTCTGTTATGTAGGTAGTTGCCCTCTTTTCCTTTTTCTTTTTTTTCTTTTCTTTCTTTTTTGAACTAATGATATCTACAGTTTACCCATCAGAGATTAAGTATTCCAACCCATTACACTTCGTTCCTGAGGTGTTGTCTTGTCTTCATGAGTGCATATCCCAGGCGATTCTCTCCCCAATGCTGCCTGAAATTCATTGCATGTTTTTCTGTATATCCAATTCCCCAAACTCGGTCTTTGGAGGCAGCTTCAACAAGCAGCCTATCTCCAGTACCCACAAGCACGTTTTTCAGATGACGATTTTGGCTGAATTTGGCAATATTTCCAGCCAAAACAACGTTGCTCTTGACCCGATCCCATATTTCGTCATCGAAGCCTTGTATGGTTTTGCCGAACGCCTTTTGTTCCTTAGAGCTGGCAGTTGCGAGGATACGAGTTTGGCTTGCGAAGTCATGGAAACACGATGCTTTGCAGTACATCATGAACTGCTCGGCGCAGTTGAAAGTAATCACCCCCCCCCCCCCCCCCGCTTCTCCAATTGATATTCCGTCATTACCGCGAAGGATGGCAGCAATCTCGCCTTTCGATACGGTGAAAGTGCACGGAAACCACTGGCAAAATTCGCCCCATTTTGCGTTGGGCATGTAGAAGAACAGCGGGTCGTCGCCCTTGGGCGAAGAATCCGAGTCAACGCGGCTGTGGCGAGATTTGGATCTCATGGTCATGCGTATTGGCAGTATGTACGTGTATTCAGAGGTGGTTGGCGATAATGAGCTTGGAGAGTTGTTGTGGTTGATTGTGGTGATGAGCATCCCTCCTTGGGGCCCATGGCCAAGTTATATACTTGACAAGCCCTTCTTAGAATTTTTGGAGATGCTGTTGCCTACCTATGCCTAAGCTTTTGTAAAAAGAAAAGTAAAAAAAACAGAGTTAAAGGTTGGGTACCTCCCACCGCCACATTTTGAAAAAAACAAAAACAAAAAACCCTATAACGCTTGAATTCTCCCGCTGCAAAAAGTTTCCTCCTACATGAGCCCTTCTCACCAAGCCACCTTTAACGCGACAAGCTCTTGCAACTAGCAGACGCAAAAATTTCCGAAGTTCTCAGTGCAAGATGTCTGGGAACCATATTCTCTCACCTTTGGACGTCGAACGTCTCCAGAGCCAGGGACTTCTTGGCCGAAGGAGCGAAAAGGGCACTCGTCGGCTACACAAACGTCGCTTGAATCGCTCCAGTGATGAAGAAAACAAGGACATTCCACTCAATGTCCATGTAGAGACCCCAGCATCTGCCAACGCGTTTGCGACGATTCCAGACCAGCTGATTTCGCGTGCCACTCTTGAATATGTTGGCTTCTCTGAGGCGAAGGCTCTTGATCTTTGGAATCAATGGACCAATTGGCCTTTTGAAGGCCCAGCGCGGGAGACTGATCTGGATGCTAGTGGCTTGCGTATGCGGTTCGAAATATTCTTCACCGGAGCATTCCATGCGGTTCCGGACACCTGCAGCAGCGATGATCAACAATGGCGACAAACTATGGACTCTTTCGGCCTGTCAAGAAGCGTTCAACAAGCCATTCTTGATCCCAACTTCAAACAACTTCGCCTTACGCAGTCGTGCGCGTACTGGGCCAAGGACACGGCGCTCATGCGATATGCTGGGCTCAAAGACATTCAACTTGAATCCATGGCGAGAGGCGATGCTGTTATGCAGGCCACAGGCACTGATGTACCACATTCTGGCTCTGCGATATCTTCAACGACCTCTAATCTGCTATCTTCATCTTCACATAGATGCCTTCTGAGCACTAGAGAGTGAAGCTGTCCGGACGGCACATATACATAACTAGGACGGTGACGGTAGAAGAGCATCGGAAGGATATTCAGCCGTCGGCGGAGCTGTTAGATTCGGAGCTGGATGACATCGAATGGACACAGTGGCGCATGGCTTTGTCCTTGAAAATACCTGGGTTGGAACAGAGGAATGTGGCTGAGGTGGCCAAATGTACCGTGGCCCCTCTGGCTCAGCCCTAGTTTCTCTTTACCGCTCGACCTCAGATTGGTTGTAGTCTCGCAAAGGGGGGTAGAGTAGCAGTCGATACCCTCCTTGATTTTTAAAAAATTCAAAATTAAATCTCGCGTTCTATATATATTTTGGAGGAACCAAAGGGCTGGGAGACGCACGCTGCTCATCATTCAGGGCGCGTTAATTGAATGGATGTGCTGCTAATTAGCGGCCCGCCCACACTCTTCTATTGGGTATTTATGGATCGCGATACGAGCCGGGTACTTTGACGCAGCACAATCTTTGTGTGGCAGCGCAGGTACTGCCCAGGTCACCCCCATCAGGGCACCAAGCCTCAGGGACCCCTCCAACATCCAAAACCCTGGAGCGGGCCTTGCATAAGGCAATCAGCCGTGTCAGTGACAGCGCATGAATCCATTTAGCTGGTACTGGCCTAGGGCAGCGCCTGTAGAGCCTACTAGGGTATCCCCAGGCAGCTGTGGCGGATTCCGCATCATCCACATCTCTCATTGCCGACATGCCAGTCGTCCCTCCAGCGTCGCGAGCTGCTCTGACACTTGTCTCCGACCCCTTGATCCAGGCTTCGTTCCTGAGCCTGTCTCGCAAAGTTTTCCAAGCCCTTCCATCCGTCGCCATTGCCCTCCCAACAACAGCTTGTTTGCGTCAACGACAAGCTGCAGGTCACCGTCCACCGACTGCCGCCCACCGACGAGGTACCTGACCACCGCACTCAAAAAACGCCAACCGACGGCACACCAAACACACAGTCCACAATAACCGAACGAGAAACCGTGCGCACGCGCCACATTCTATCTCGTCATCAATCACTACGATACAGCCCATGCCCCGATCCCAAGGGAATGCCCATCGCCAGACCCTCCCGGCTCATTTTATCCCTCCCAGCAGCTGTGCCTGATGTTCAACCTACCTGCAATGCCATCGAGTTGACTCAGCAGCACCAACCTACCCTGCGAGAGCTTCCCTTCCCTCCCATCCCTCACTCGACATACACGCGCCCCGTCAGGTTGAACAGCTATACGGTTCATACCTGGGTGCGCATCCAGTGAGCAAGGACGAGACCGAGAGGCCAGATCCCACGATGGACTCGGTTGCGGGACTGGAGCGGTCCCAATCCCAGCAGAGTCATCGGTCCATCACTTCCCACCGCAGCACCACCGTCCGAGCCTCCAAAGCCCGCAAGCGCCTCAGCCAGCCCAGCAGCTCGGCCAGCAGTGTCGCCCCCAGCGACAAGTCCCTAACCAGCTTCCCCAGCTTCTCCCCAGAGTCCCCCGTCACCGAGCGATTCGACGAGGACCGGTTCAAGACGGCAACCATCCGAGATCGCTCCACCGACACCCGAGGTGCTAGAAGCGGCTCCATCGTCGACAGCTTGACGGAACCAAAGGCTGCGAGGGACGCCCTCTTCGAGGATGCTCCGCTGGCCAAGGCGCCCGGCGCGCTGCACCAGGCGGACAATGCGCACATCGAGCGGCTGATCGCGAGACACGGCGCCGTGGGGCTGGTGAGACAGGTTGCCGAGGACCTTGCCCAGCGAGACGGCCAGATCTCGTTGTTGAGGAGGCGGGCGGACGAGCGCGAGATGGCGCTTCGGAGGATTATCCGAGAGTGCGGGCTGTCGAATCTGGAGCTGGAGACGAGGCTGCGCACGGTCGAGGACGAGCTCAGAAAGACCGGCCGGACGAGGAATTGGGTCAACACGGGGCTGAGCGATATGATGACCGATGCGATGCAGGATTCAATGACGCGGCGTTCGCACGACGAGGATGGGGATTACAAGAAATCAACGACGATTCGAGCAAGTAATCAGAATGGCAACAGTGTCAGTAATAACGACCAGAAAGATGGCAAGCCGGCGGAAAGCAGCGGCAAGGGAACCGCGAGAGGCTGGAAGGAGTACTTCTGGGGCACCGGCACAACTAAGAAATCGAACCGGGGCAGCAGCTTTCTCAGCGAGGGCGTGAACTCATCAACGATAGTTCGCTCCCATTCGAGCTTGGAGAGGCGGCCCATTCTCCAGGACGATCTTTTCAAGCCGCCAAACGCAGCCGAGATACCACGAAGCGCTAGCAGGACTTCATTCTACTCGGTCAACAACACAGACAGGAAGCCATCCGGCTCGTTCGCCAGCATGGCTCTGCGGTTGGTTGCTGGAGGTGCCATCAGCGGCAGGGAAGCTGCTGCAGAGTCGAGAGGCCGCGCGGTCAGTAATTCTACGCGCGCCGATTCTCTGCGCGGTGCGTCTGCCTCGAGCAACAAGACGGCTCGATCTGCGCGAACTGTCTCTGTGGCTGGAGGACCTAAGGCGCTAATGGCCATGCGTCGATCCGCCACACCGGTCCCGCAGGCGCAGGCGGCGGCATCGAGAGCCCAAGCGGCGGATATGTGGGATTCCATGGTTGGCACGTCGCCAGGAAACTCGGCCTCGCGACAGGAGAGCTTCGGGCCAGTGGAGATGGACGCCATTCGATCTCCCGAGTCGCAACCCCCGACCCTGACACACATCTACAAGAACTATGATAACAGCGAGTATTTGACGGATCGGTTCGGCTTCATCTATGATCAGCGACGGAAAAAGCGCCAACGAGAGGCGGCGCAGATGGCCAGGCATAGCCGCAAAGGCAGTCGTCCGGAAATGCTGCTCAACGGCCGCTCTGGAATCTCTCCTAATCTGATTGACGACATGCCTCCCTCCCTGCGAAGCGTCTCGAGCGGAAGCCGAGCAGAGAGCCCGATCAGCCAGGAAGACAGCAAAAGTATAGAGGAGGGCAAGCCCAACAAGAGGTGGCAGGATTACCTGAAGATTGCCACCTTCCCAACCGAGCTTCTCAGCCATACTCCGAGCACCGGAGCCGCATCACTTGAGGTTCTCGAAGGAACAGACGCAGCGGCCTCTGAGTCACAGCCAAATGGACCTCTCAAATCACCAGCCATCACGCCTACCGACTCTGGCCTTGTCCCTGCGGCGAGCACAACCACGGCGGTGGACAATGGAATGACGACGCCACCATCCCAGCCTGAGACGATTCCCGAGTTGGTCCTCAAGGAGGACAGAGAGCCCGTCAAGCTTCTCCTGCAGCAGCTGAGCGATGTTCACGATGCGCTGCAGAGAGAGAAAATGCCTCGGTGGAACGACTTCTTGCGCAAGGTCAGGGCCGAGCGTCGTCGCGAGGAGGAAGCGGCGATCGCGGCCGCCAATGCAGTTGCGGAGGCCCGGTATGAGAGGCCCACGATGATTCTCCCGGAGACACGTGTCGCTGATGGCGAAATGATTGGGATCTCGAACCTTGGGAACAAGGGCAAGGTCGGCCGAGCCAAGTGGAACGAATTCAAGAGTCTCGTCCTCGGCGGGATCCCAGTCGCATACCGCTCCAAGATTTGGTCCGAGTGTTCTGGGGCTGCCTCGATGCGGATCCCTGGCTACTACGACGATTTGGTGGCTCAGAAGAGCGAGGACGACGACCCGGTTGTCATCAGCCAAATCGAGATGGACATCAACCGCACACTCACGGACAACATCTTCTTCCGCAAGGGTCCAGGCGTCAAGAAGTTGAGAGAGGTTCTGGTGGCGTACGCGCGCCGGAATAAGGACGTCGGGTATTGCCAAGGCATGAATCTTATCACGGCCAATCTTCTCCTCATCATGCCTTCCTCAGAGGATGCGTTCTGGGTCCTCGCCTCCATCATCGAGAAGATCCTCCCCCAGGGGTACTACGACCACTCGCTCATGTCGTCGAGGGCCGACCAGCAGGTGCTGCGACAATACGTCTCAACAGTGCTTCCCAAGCTGTCGGCACACTTGGATACCCTGTCTATTGAACTTGAGGCTCTGACCTTCCAGTGGTTCCTCTCCGTCTTCACCGACTGCCTTTGCGCCGAGGCACTGTTTCGTGTTTGGGATGTCGTCCTATGTACCCACGATGGCAGCACATTCCTGTTCCAAGTTGCCCTCGCCCTGCTCAAGCTCAACGAGGGAAATCTTCTGCAGCGCCAAACGCCAGCAGGCGTGTACACGTATATCAACCACCACATGACGGAGCACGCGATCAGTATCGACAGTCTGATGCAGGCCAGCGAAGCTCTGAGGAAGCTAGTCAAGCGAGAGGAAGTGGAGCAGATGAGAGAGAAGGCGATCCAGGCGGAGAAGGATGCTGCGGCTGCGCGAGACGGGCGAGTAAACGGAGTTGCGGTTGAACCAACAGTGATGGAGGAGTGATGACTCCTCATCTTCACGCATTTGATTATTCGGTGTTCTTTTGTTTTATTTTTTCATTCTTCTTTCACTTCCTTTTTTTTAACAGATATTCAGCGACAGGAACTTGTTTGGATTGCGGGCCACTGGGAACATAGAAAGCGAGTGAATGCAAAGCATACGGGGCCGGTTCGAGGCGGAAAGAAGGACTTGGTGTCTTTCATTTGATACCCCCGTTTTATTTTGATTTTCAACAACATTCTTGGTCATCAAAGAGATGATGGTACGAAGAAGGGTACAAAAGGGGGGGGAAGCATCGCTGCGCAACAGGTTTTCAGGCGTTGGAAGTTTGGTCTTTTTCGCCCTTTTGTTTTATGCAGCGACATACACACACCGGCGCATACACATTCGCACACACATGCACACACACGCACAGGGGGGGTGAATACACATTGGTTGAGTTGGTACTTTTACTTCTTGCATCCGTGGACGACGACGAGAATCATTCCTTTCGATATACCCTTAGATGAATGGTGGGGGGTTCATGGCTTTGATAACTGGTGAATATATTATATATTTTTATCCTATTTTTTAAAAAGAAGATTTGCCTCTTTTCTAGCCATGCAGTAAGAGAGAAATGCAAGACAAACTTTCCCCGAGTGAAGTCCATCATGGTAGAAAAAGTATCAGCCAAAACCCCAACTCTCATCGCTTACTACAGCTTGGCCTTCTGATTCTCCCTCTGCCACTGCTCATACCAAACCTTGCCAAACTCCTTCCTCTCCCTCTCATTCTCCTGCGCGGCGTCGAACCGCGCATCCTCGGCCTCCAGCCCGGGGCCCTTGAGCATCCGCACCAGATCCTTGTACATCTCCGCCTTGATCACGCCGTACACCCCCGTCTTGCCCTTATCCTCGATCCCCCGTGCGTCGATGAACTTGAGCGCCGACTCGACCCCCTCGTCGGCCAGCCCGTCGGCGATGCCCGCCTCGACGGCGTCGGCCCCCGTGAACCGCCTCGCCTCGAGCACGAGGTTCCGGTAGACCTGGGGCGTCAGCTTGGTGCGGAATATGGCGGCCATGGCGGGCTTGAGGGGCGCGCCGAAGAGGAGCTCGTTGACGCAGAGGAAGCCTTTTGGGTGGGGGGCGAGGCGGTAGTCGTGGGCCATGGCGAGCATGAGGCCGCCGGCGAAGGCGTGCCCGTTGAGGAGGGCGATGGTGGGCATCGGGAAGCTTTTGTATGGATTAGCGTTTCTTCTCACTTTGAGGAAGATAAGGGAAGAGACTCACGTTAAGAAGCGGCGCCAGACTTCGTAGAGGAGGGCCCAGAAGCCGTCGGTAGCGACAGCGTGCTCAAGGTCAAGGCCGTTGCTGTAGAACTTGGGGATGGCGCTGGTGGTGATGACGACGCCGGACTCGTGGTCGCCGAACTCGAGGACGTCGAGGGCGGAGAGGAGGGCGCGGCAGAAGGGGGTAGTCATGCGGTTGTCCGGGGGCGAGGAGAAGGTGAGGACGTAGGTGCGCGGACGGGGGGTTGTGCAGACGATCTCGCCGCCCGGGTGGTTTGGCGGGAGGGCCGCGATGGGGATGGTGAAGAGAGGCTCCATGGTGGCAGTGAGGTGGCTGTCTGGCTGTCTATGTCTATGCCGTGGTGAGGATCCGGTGGTGAGGAGGGTGAGTGAGGTTGGAGGACGAGGGTTGTTGTCTGGGCTTGGAGTGTTGTTACGGCGGCATGTCTTGTTGGTGTTGTCGGCAGCTTACTCTGGGCCTCGGCATAAACTGGCACAAGCTGGGATATGATATCATATCAGCGGCCTTCGCCGTTATAGCTGCCGTGCCGAGCAATTGGCCAATTGGCTGGGGCTAGAATCTTCACAACTCATGTCAAGAACATGGCTGCACTCTAGACCTTGGTCTGCAATCTGTCAACGATGCCGAGTCTCTCATTTGCCCATCATAGTGGGGGATTGCTACTGCAATGGCGAAGCATCTCAAATGTATATGGCATGTGACCGGGTTGCTGCGAAAGCGGTGTGATTATGTAAGTCGAGCACGCTGATAAGATAAGACCCCGCGATAAAGATAACAACGTTCCCGTGGTGTGCCGTCTGTTGGCCTGGGACTGGATTTTGAACCGTTGCCAATTCAACTGCTCCCGTCGCATAGCTTACTAAAATCCGTCGTTGAGATAACATGTAAAATTAGCATCCCATCATGCGATCGCTACCCACATTAGCTCGCTGGTGGCGACGTCCTCCATGGCTTGGCTCGTTCGGGCGGATCAACCGCTGGCCTCACCGCCCCACGGTCGCCTGCGTCGTGCATGCTGATGCTTGCTAACACCACCGGGGCCATTCCCAGCATTGCAAGAGCCGTGAATGCGCCTGTCAGGTATGTCCTATGCAGTGCAACCGACCAGTGACATCCACATACATACTGCCGTCTATATGAGCCTGTAACCCCCCATTTGCCTGTCGTGACCCCCCGGCCTACCCTACCGGCACACTCGCGCAGAATAGAAGACAATGTCCTCTATTTCGATCGAGGGAGAGTGTCTCCAGGAGACCTTTGTGGCCCCCCAGTGGCTGCCCGACGGCAACTCGTTCTGGTATCGCCAGCGTACCTCTCCAGGGAAATACGCCTTCATCTACGTCGACATCCTCCAGAACGCCTCGGGGCCTGCTTTTGACCACGAGGCCCTGGCCAAGGAACTTTCCGAGCATGCCGGGACTGAGATTGATTCAAAGTCTCTCCCTTTTACGTGGATTGAGGTGGGGGCCGATACTAGTGTTGTTCATTTCACCTACCAGGGACGAAAATGGGAGTACAGCCCTGTGACCGGCCTGTGTGAATGGGATGGGAAGTTTGCCCACCGGAAGAGGGGGTTCCTGCGCAAGATGATAGAATCCAAGACATTGACCAACTCCAGCGTCAACTTCAGCTTCACAAACCACACAAGAGCCAACTTGAAGATGTACTGGGTTGACTACGAAGGCAAGTCCGTCTTCTACCGGGGCATAGGGCCAGGCGATACCAAACGCCAAAGATCACAGCCTGGCCATATCTGGCAGCTCAAGAGCGACTCTCCCGACGATGCTGACATCATCTATCGCATCCCCAAGGGCCAGGATATCCTCATTGTGGACGAGATGGACTTGGACAAGACTGCTGCCGAAGAGAACGACGAGGGTGAACCTGCTGCTAACCCGCAGGCAGAGGAACGGCCAGAGGCCGATGAGAAAGACGACAAGGGAGGGGAAATCTTTGTGCTCGATGACAATCTGTGGATGGAGGATGGAGATAAGAACCGGTTCCAGCTGTCTGACCATCCCCCTCGATATGCGGCCGGGGGGAATGATGCTGAGGAGGGGGCTAGGCAAGAAGACAACCCCCAGAAAAGCCCTGAGGAAGATCTTACCTATGACGAACGAATGATCTTCAAGTCGCCTGATGGAAAGTTCGTGATCGCATGGCAGCACACTCCATTTCCAGACGAGAAGATTTGGCTGCTTAATTACGCAACCGGTGACAAGGTTGTACCCCAGCTCAAGGAAAGGGCATTCAGAAAGGCCGGTGACCGTGTAAGAGAAGACCGACCTCGACTGTTCAGCCTGACCACAAAGGCCGAGGTAGCAACAGAGGAAGACTTGTTTACTGGCCAATACAATCTGTACAATATCGGATGGGGGGAGAATGGGGAGTACCGCTTCATATTCAATCAGCGCGGACATCAATGTATGCGTGTGCTGGGTATCAGCTGTGATGGGTCAATCCGTGTCTTGCTGGAGGAGAAGAGTGAGACATTCATCGACTATCTGACCAAGCTCTACTACCAAGTTGTCAAGGTCGATGGCTCCGAGAAGATGATTTGGGCCAGCGAAAGAGATGGGCATAATCACCTGTATATGCTTGATCTGGAGAAGGGCCAATTTCAGCACCAAATCACGAGCGGAAACTGGAACGTGAATAGGGTTGAACACATCGACCACGACACCGGCGAACTTTGGATATCCGCATATGGTTTCAACGAGGATGAAGATCCTTACCATATACACCTGGTCCACGTTCGTTTTGATGGAACTGAATGCTGGGCCGTCACGGAAGGCGACGGAACTCACCTCTGGAACTGGTCCCCGGACAAGCGGTTCTTCATCGACACGGCCTCAAGGGTGGACCTCCCACCGCGAACCACGGTACGGTCTGCCAAGTCTGGAGAGCTCCTGGTGGTGCTGAATGAGGTCAAATCGGAGGACCTCAAGGAGAAGGGATGGGTTCCATTGGAAAGATTTTCAGCGCTGGGCCGGGATGGGAAGACGCTCATCTACGGTGTCATCGCCCTGCCGCGAAATTTTGACAAGACCAAGACATACCCAGTGCTTGAGTACATCTACGCCAAACCCCATGAGTTCTACACGCCCAAACGCTTTGGCCAGGGAGGGGGCCTATACAGCTGGGCAACCTTTGTGAACGCGATCACGGTGCAGATAGATGGGATGGGCACCAACTGGCGGTCAAAGACGTTCCACAATGTGTGCTACAAGAACCTCAGCGATGCAGGGCTGCCCGACCGCATTCTCTGGATGAAGGAGGCTGCGAAGACCAGGCCCTGGATGGACCTCTCACGCGTCGGCATCGTCGGCACGTCCGCGGGGGCGACGAACACCGTGTCTGCGATACTGCACCACGGCGACTTCTACAAGGTCGCCGCAGCAGACTCGGGATCCCACGACATCCGCATCGACTACCTCTCCTGGGCGGAGTCCTGCATGGGCTACCCAGTCGACCAGTCGTATATTGACCACTCCAATCTGACCCATGCCGGGAAGCTGGAGGGGCAGCTGATGCTGGTCGTGGGGGGGCTAGACACTAATGTGAACCCAGCAGGGACCATGAGGCTTGTGCAGGCTCTGAATGAGCAGGATAAGGACTACGAGCTGGTATTCATTCCGGATGGGCATCATGGTTGTGGCTGCTCTGGGTATGGGCACAGGCGCATCGTTTCCTTCTTCAAAAAGCATCTCGGCTCTCCAGGGGAATCTGCAGCTCCATCAGAGGTTGCCACTCCGTCAGAAATTCCTCATCCATCAAGGGCCGTTACTCCAGCAGAAATTGCTACTCCATCGGAGGATGCTGCTCCCAAAAATTAGGTATTCAGGGATAGTTCTTCTAAATTGAGTAAAAATACTATTTGTCAAACTTTCTACTTTCCCGGTAAAAAAAATATTGATTGAAATATTCACTGACGCCAATTCGAAAAGTAACAAACGAGGTTGAGATGTGATAAAAAATCAAAAAGAAAATCTCGAAGAGCGGAGTCGAACCGCTGACATCCAGATATGCTTTCGAGCGATTACAGTCTGGCGCCATAAACCAACTAGACGACTTCGAGGTTCTTGTTGCAAGGTTGCGCGTAATAGGTCAATAAGTGTCTCAGTAGCACCTTATCTCAACCGTTATCTTATCTGTCTTTTCGGGAAGGTGGCCATCGCATCACAAGCTCTAAGCTGGAATCACTTCAACCTCAGCTCACTTCCTCTTGCTTCTTCCCAACAACACACACTTTCTTCACATCCACGATGGCGCGCAAAGCTGTCGCGAAGGCTGGAGGGAAGCAGAAGACCAAGGAGAAGGACGCCGAGGCCAAGACCGACCCGAGCGAAAGGAAGAGGACCATCGTCTTCTTCCACCCCGACCTGGGCATTGGTGGTGCTGAGCGCCTGGTCGTCGATGCCGCCGTTGGCCTTCAGGAGCGTGGGCACAAAGTTGTCATCTTCACTAACCATTGCGACCCAAACCATTGCTTTGATGAGTGCAAACCCGATGGTATATTCCGGTTCCTCGCCCAAGAAGCGCTCTGCTTCTCGTCTTGCCCTCCCCCCCCCCGCTTATCTGATCATCCCACTAATCGCCGTTACACCACTTCACAGGCATTCTCGACGTCCGTGTGCGCGCTTCTGGGCCGATTCCCATGTCCATCTCCAATCGCTTCACGATCCTCTGCGCAATTGCCCGCCACATCCAGCTGTTACTCCAAATCAATTACAGCCGCGAGCTGACCGACCTCAACCCCGATGCCCTCATCGTCGACCAGCTCTCTGCTGGCCTGCCTCTGCTCCAATACTTCGTCACCTCCGGCCCTATTCTATTCTATTGCCACTTCCCCGACATGCTCCTTGCACAAGGCCGCGAGAAGGCCATCAAGCGACTCTACCGTGTACCATTTGACTGGCTGGAGGAGTTTACAATGGGCTTCTCGCAAGCCATCGCGGTGAACAGCCGGTTCACAAAGGGTGTGGTTGCCAAGACTTGGCCAGCTTTGGCGAAGAGCAGCCCCATGAAGGTTGTCTACCCATGCGTAGAGACGGGTGCAAACGAGGAACCGTCCATCGAGGCTGAGAAGCTCTTTGGGGGAGACAAAATCATCCTAAGCATCAATCGCTTTGAAAGGAAAAAGGACATTGCTCTTGCTATCAAGGCATTTGCCGCAATCCCGGACAAGAAACGACAGAAGGTCCGCCTCGTTATCGCAGGTATGTCATGACATCGCCACCGTCTTAATACTGGCTTAGGACATTCCGAGACTTAATGTGTGAATTATTAGGGGGCTATGACCACCGGATCGATGAAAACGTCAAATATCACACTGAGCTTCAAGCTCTGGCAGACTCTCTCTCCATCTCCCATCAGACAATCAAAGCCTCGGAAGATCTCTCTACCGCATCTCCAGACTCTCGAGTCCTATTCTTACCATCAGTTCCTGGCGCAACCAAGGACAAGCTCCTGCGAGCTGCGAGATTGCTTGTCTACACCCCCTCTCAGGAACACTTTGGAATTGTCCCTCTCGAGGCCATGCTCGCTCGCACCCCAGTCCTGGCTGCCACTACCGGCGGGCCTGTCGAAACTGTCGTTGACAACGAGACGGGCTGGCTACGCGACACGGCCAATATACCTGCCTGGACGGAAGTCATGATCCGGGCTCTTGACATGCCCGATAAGAAGATCAACATACTTGGCGACCTTGGCGCAAAACGTGTAAGGGACAACTTCAGCCGCGAGGCCATGGCACGGAACCTGGAGGATATCGTAAGCGAGATGCGTTCCGTCCCCCCCAATCGCTCATTCTTGCTTCCCCTGGCTATAAATCTCTTCATTGTCGCCATAGCCTTCATCGTTGGCATCGTTGCTTCCCAGTCGTACTACACGGTCAAAGACTTCATCTCGGCGTCCTCCAAGCGAGATTGAATTTCATCGGCAGGAACCGAGTAGTCAAGGGGGACAGAATCATTTTACTAGCTATATCATCGCCGTCTCTCGTCATTAGAAATTTGCTAGACCACCATATCATCGCAAGGAATTGACCAGTGCGGCCACGCCTGAGCCTGGATTCTCTTGACGTGTGGCTGCATCAACCAATTTAAATGCGATAACATATATAGAAAGACTCAAGAATAGACATGTACATATAATAATAATTGAAAATCAACGATTCATCACACAGAGGAATGCAAGAGTGGTGGGTTTACGATATTTCATTCCAAATATATACGTCTCTCGTCTTCCCGTAGGAGATCGAACCTTTGCTACCTAGCAAAACTCTCATCGCACCATTACACCAAAACACTCATTGATCAACTTGAACCCGTGTCACACGCGATAAAATCATGAGGGGATGCGCGATGGAGATGGGAAATGGCAGCCAATCTCGAAACCGCTCTTTTCCCCATCTTTCGCACCATCCGCTCCCCACGTACAGCCTCTCCAAATTCCCCAAAAACAAACTGATAACGAAGAGCAAGAGGGGGGGTACTAGTCCAGTCAAGGGGGAAGGAAAAATCAAAAAGCGCAAATCCATAAAAACATGTGTCTGGGGGGGAGTGGCATGTCCCTGCCGTATCCCCCTGATCCTCCCAAATTCACTCCAAATTCTTCACCAGTGCCATGCTATGCTGCCCGTGGGAAAAAAAAGCTCAACAAATCAACGTATTGGACATAGAAAAAGAAAACCCAGTACCGAGGTAAACCATTCCTCCTGTCTCGGAAAGGCGGAGAATCCACCCTCCGGCCAAGGGTTGTTGTTGTCCTCATGAGAGCAGACGGTTTGTTGTCCATCTCGAGGGTGGAGGGGCATTGATTGTATAATATAGATACAACGGCGCGTTCAGAGTTCTTGCTCCATGTTCAGCCTCAAGACTCAACAAGCCATTGATTCAAAGAGACTGAGACTGTTCATCATCTAATCTTCATGTGCAGCGAAGAGCCAGTAGCGTGCTTGGCGAGGACAAGGTCTCAACAGCTAATGACATGCAGAGATGTGCGTGTTCCAGAGTGGACCGTGACTGCATCCTGACTAGCAGGTATCATACCGTCATAATCGTGTTGAAAGGACATGATCGATCATACTGGCGCATCCCATTGCCTGTACTCTGAAAAAGTGCCAGTGTGTTTGGGTTGCCGCAACCCAGAAACGATGGAATGCTGTAAAAAGACAAAAGGCCGCTCCAAAACGAACATGGCGGGACGTGGCTCCCTGCCGTAAAAAACAAATGTCTATCGGGGAATTGTAGTCTAGTAATGTCAAATGCATCTTGGAAATATTGTTGCACAGTTCCCAGTGCGTGTGGTGTATGTGGTATCATCGAAAATGTACCCGCCATCTGTAAACTAGATTGAAGAAAAATAGCAGCTTGAGTATATTGCTCAGCCCAATGATGGGAGAGACTTCCGTGTGTAGGCGGTTCGCAAGCTTGCTGAAGCGATGCTTCCCATCGTCTCTACAGAGGTGATGGATGGCCCGTCCCTGTTAAGAATAGGGCCCATCCATACTAGCTGAATACTGATGGGTATGCGTATGCTCAGGTTGCCCAGGCTTGGCTGTTTCTGTACTGGTGGTACTAATGTTGGTGTCCCGTCTCCTAGCTTCGAAAGGTGCCCGGCGTGTGAGGCTGGCAACTGGCGTAGACTTGCGCTTGGATTTGGCCATGACGAGGAAGCCGTCGTCGCTGTCATCATCGTCATCATCGCTGAGGTTCCGATGTGTGTCTGGGGCATGATCAACCCGAAGAGTCAGTGACCCGCTCCCCATGGCTGAAGGATTGCCAAAAACTTGGTCCAATGGAAATCCACCAGCAGGCTCTTTACCATGAGCTGGAGGTGTGAGCGAATCTGTTGACTCAAGCAAAGATGGCTTCGTGCTCACCACACCCGGCCCATTGAGCAGCTCGGCTTCCATGTCAGCAGAGACAGAACTGGCCCCGCTGAGGAGAGCGGGCAGCGATGGGTCGGACTGGAAGGCCAACGTTTGCTCTGAACCATTCTTAGTTGGTGGTTGTGTAGAAGTTGGGCTGGTCACCTCACTTGGGCAGGTCAGGGGCGTTTCTCGCCCGTCTAAAGAATCGGTGCTTGAAGACTTGACAGTCGTCATTGTATTTCCCCGAATTGGGGCCGATCGTGCAGGGCCATCCTCTTCATCCGAAGGGGGGCAAGGAATGGCGGCGGGGTCGGATTTGGCCGTTCTCAGTCCCCAAAGCTGTCCATCCATGTAGCGTGAAGTGGTGTCACCGGCCCTTATGTTCGACTCAGAGTTGGATGGAGTGTGTCTCCGAGATCTGGGTCGAGGGGACGCAAGCTCTCGTGGGGGCTGGCCGTTCTCAATGGCGGCAATGACCGCACTTTGAACTGATGACCCCAAGGGCGAGGCGTAGCTCTGGCGCTTCTTGGCTCGTCCCAGGTCGACGGACCGCATAGCACGGGGATGGCATGGTGTCGTTGGACGTTGAATGTCTCCACCAGCCGTCGTGGGGCTCACTCCCACCCGGGCAGCAGCGTGCTTGTCCATTGTACCAAATAAGCCGCGATCTACTGACTGAGCACGAGATGTATCGTCGCCGGGCAGTGTAGATGCTCTTGTCTTTCTCGTCTCATCGCGAAATTCGTTGTCACTGGCACCGTCAGACCCCAGCGAGGATGCCGTTAAGGACTCAAACACACGGGAGGCTCGGGTCCTGATACGCAGCCCCGCCTTGCTGGAAGTACGGCTGTGGAGCTGGGCGGGCTTGGTACTGGAGTCCGATTGCTCCGCACTCTCCGGCTTAGTCTGCTCCTCTTGGGGGAGGACAGTTGCCATGGGATCATAAACCTCAGACCCGGA